GTGATGGGGGGCGGGCAATGGCGGGCCGCGCTACCACCACCGCCCTCGCTGCTTTCAACAAACTACCCCCGTTGTCTGAGCTGAGCTGCCCCCAGCAGCCCCGGCCCGGGCCTCGCGGAAAGCCAGGCCACCGCCACACCGCAAAGGAAAAAGAAAAAAAAAGAAAAAAAGGGGGAGGCCTGTCCGTCGGCGCTGAAATTAGAAATGTCCCCAAGCCAATTATTATCGCTCGAGACGTGGCCGACGTGGACAGTGGGGCGCCGTCCGTTCCTCGTCGCCGTCCTCTCCGGATGCCGAGACGCGCAAATACGTGCAAGCAGCGGAGACCGCCGTAATCCCCCCACCCCCCTCCGGCGAGAAAATTTAATTTGTCCGAGCGCACGCGCGGGTATTTGAACCCGAGCCGATGCTCGGCGTTTCTTTTATTTCGGTCATTAGTCGATTTTCCGGTCGACACAGAGCGCCGAGGGGGAGCGGGCCGTGTCTTCGTCCTCCAGGAGCCTCCAGGGCCTTCCAGGACCTTCCAGGAGATAAGGAGAGCCTCGAATCACTGCCGTCGCCCCCTCCACTGCAGTAATGGCCCCCACCCCCCGGCCGGGCCGAACGGGCCGGCGAGAAGAACCAAGAACCGGAGACATGGCGCACAGCGGCTAATCTACCTCGTGGACCCGCTGTCCGGGCGGCAGGGAACGGAGAGGTCCGGCACTCTGTCCCTCTCGCACCCCTCCGGGACACCCCATGAGTGCGAGAGAGAGAGAGAGACAGAGCGACGGCACCGATGTGCTGGTCGTCCCCGGCTAGTCCCCAGGGACTCTGTCGACGGACATCAGGGGACACGGCGAGATTTGGATAGAGTGAGAGAGGGAGAGAGACAGATAGAGAGCAAAAGAAGGAAGCGCCCAGAGTTTCAGGGCAGCAAGGAACACCTTAGTGGACCCCTTTTCGCGCGGTCGTGCGTCCACTCTGCAATGTGGATGACTGCGCACCTGTTCCAGCGATCGATCACTGCTAAACCTGCCGGCCAGTGAACTGGTCAAGTACCTATTGGACACGGGACGCTGTCCCCTCACCTCCGGCTTCGGCAGGGCCAAGATTGATCCTCGCACTCTGGTGGACAGAGGGCAGGAAAGGCGTCGGAGTAGGCGCTCCTGCCGAGCGGAGTCAGCCCGACCAACTCGGGGTAGGCAACCCGGCCGTCTTGAGGGCCTGGGGTGGCCTGGGGGCACAGCTGGGCGTTGCAGTGCAGGCAGGCCGATAGGCTAACCCAATTACCTAGGGCGTCGTCCGGCCCCGCCCCCCGCCGCCGCCCCCCCCCCCTCCCCCCCCCCCCCCTCCCCCGGCCCGCACGAAGCCCCATGGCCCCCCGCGTATCGCTACCCTTGTCCGCGTCCTTCGAGGAGGCCAGGCCCCTCCAACATTTCCATCTCTCCTTTCTTGATGCTTCACGTCGCCGTCCCCGCGTCCTCATCGTCCTCATTGACCCGAAAGGTATTTCGGGGGCGGATCGTATTCCACGACCTTTTGCAAAGCGGGCCCGTACCAGTGTGGCGGTGCCCTTCGCGACCGCGCGAGTGTGTGCGTGCGTCTGTGTGTTTTTCGGCGGGTGCGTCCGCCGCACAGTGTGTGCGACTGCATATATTCCGGCGAGTTGGTGCGGTCCACCTGTTTGTGCGCGTGCCTTGCCTGGGGCCGCGTGTCCGTGTGTCTGCGCGTCCACTGTCCAGAAGCGCGCCGACCTGTTAACGGAATCGACCGGCGCGTCGTGGAGGCGGCCGAGGACTCGGTTATGAACGAGGTAAAAACCCTCGGCTGTTTTATCACCCCCGGCGTGCGGAAACTGGGCCCGTCATGCGGTTGTGTGGTCGTGTGGTTGCCGGCGACGCAAGTTGCCCGTCCGAGTTGCGGCAGAGTTCGGCCCGATGGGGGTCGCCGCTCACAAGGAGCGCTGCCCGCCGAGGGGTGTCCTGTGTCCTGCGGCTGCCGGGGACCGCGTCGAAGACCCAGACCGGCCCAGGCGAGTTCCTCTCCCTGCGGACAACGTGTCCCGTTTGGTCCTCCACCGGGGAACACTTTGGGGGAAACTGAGGAAGCGTTGTTCAGTTTACTCTTCATCGTGGTGGTCTGGAAGAGAGCATTCGCTCCTCCAAGGGCGTTTCTCCAAAGAGCATTTTTCCGTCGAGACGCGGCCAGAGACGCGGGAAAAACAATGCACGCGAGTTGGCAGCCAGCCCAGCTGGTGTCGCGGAGTGAACCGGCACGGCGGCACGGCGGCGCGGTGCGGACGTACCGGACACCCTTGGCCTGCCAGCGCGGCCAGCGCGGCGGCCAGTCTCCAGAGGCCAGAGGCCGCGGACGTACCCCAGATCCATAACCACACGCAACAAAAGCACAGTGACGTCACTCGGAACCCGCACTGCGAAAAGATCCCCGCCGACTCCAAGACAAGTGCGTGGCGGACGTTGCCCCGCACTGCGTGTTGTGTAGTACGTCGTGCGGCAGAGCGGCGTGGGCGCGTAAAGTGTCCCGTCGCACTGCGGTGCAGCGCTTGCGTGCGTGCACCGGACGAATCTCGCGCGGGTTTGTGAGTTTGAGAGTTAGTGCGGCGGGCCGCGGGCTCGCGTCCACCAGCCCGCCAAGCGTTTAACGAGAGCGCGGCTGCCGGCACAGCTGTCTGGGCGGCGCTGGCCCGCTGGCCGTGTCACATCTGGCGGGCCGGGGCGGGGCTGGCCGGGCTGGCGGTCGCGGACGGATGTGATACGCTGCCCCGTCATCTCTGTGATGACACGATGACACAATGACACGTCGGCGTGGAACGTGCTACACGCTCCAAGTTGCGCCCGGTGTGCGGAGCCAAGTCGGCAGACCGCCGCGTCTGGTCCTGCGCCGCGCTGCTGCCGAACAAGGCCGCCGTTGTCGAGTGCCCTGTCCAGCGCGGTGCTCTCTGTCTCTCTCGCACTCGTGGGGCGTCCCGTAGGGGTGCGAGAGAGACAGAGAACACTGTTCGGAGGAGCACGCGGCGAAGGTCACCGGCGCCCGCGCGTTTCCTCGGATGCAGCTGTGTGTCATCATCTGGACCGAGGAAAACCAGCCCGGGGCGGGGCGGGGCGGGGCGGGGCAGAAGCGCGCATCTCGGCCCCGCCGGGGTCACAGTTACGGCGGGCAACGGGGTTTGGAGACAAGGCAAGACAAGGCATCGTGACAGGGTCATCATAAACACGGCACGTGCGCCGCCAGGACACCGCCTTCTCGGAAGTAGTGCATAATGCACTCGATTATGCAAAGGCGGTGATTCACTTCGCGCGGGGAATTGGCAGCACTGAGTGTGGAGGCCCCTCGGGCAAAATACGCTCATCTCGCTTGTTGTTTCGAGAAATGAATTATCAGACACAAAACAACTATGTAATCGGTTCACTCGATTGTGTTGGGGCCACTGCAAGAGACGAATCACAACAAAATTTTGCGGATGCAGGATCGTGGTGTTTTCTAACCTGTTCCTTACATATTTTGCAAGGAATGAGTCTGGTGTGAACGTGAGTAGTGGTTCGCTTCTGAGGACAGTGTACTCAGCAAAAGCGGTTGAGAAAACCAAAAACAATGAACACTCGTCTGCAATTTAAATACGAAAGGACCGGCTTGTTTGAAAAGCGCACCGAATTTTGACGAGTCCCCTTGAAGGTGCGCCAGGCCAACCATTCCGCGCGGGGCCACACCCTTGTAATTCTGTTTGTCCGGCCGCGCTCTCTCTCTCCCCCCTCTCTCTCTCCTCTCTCTTTCTACGAGGCCGTGGGGGTCATAACTACGGCCCGGCCAAATCCACGCCCGGAAAACCCTGGCGTCTTCGTCTTTGTTCTTTTCTTTAGCTCCTCTGCGAGGACAACAATGAAGCACTGCGAAAAAAAATTAAGTGAAGAAAACCGGAGAAAGAATCAATGAAAAAGGTGAAAGAAAATAGACGACGGTTCGTTAAACTATAAAAAAAACACCTCGCGTATTTTTAAAAGATTAAAATCTAATCTGGAAAATGACATTTGGTTGTGTAAACACTGCCTGTCTCCTACAGTGTAGTCTGATACGAATGGATGCGGTATGCCCCCGCAGGTGGGCCGTCTGTCTGGCCCAACCGATGCATGGCATTGCCACGACACTGGCATTGCCACGCCACTGCCACGGCACTGCTCGTCGCATCAGCAATGCATGACACGAGTAGGGCGCGAATCCAGGCGGTCGCACCTCGGGGAGGAGCACACGCCAACGCTGCGCCTCGAAACGCACCAGAAGGTTAGGTCAACCCCGCATTACCAAAAAAAAAAAAAAAAAAAAAGTGGACTAAAAACAATTTCGCATTTTGACCCTCATGGGTGTCCCATGTGACTACCCAAAATAATGAAAAATAAAATTTCTTCTAAATTTTGATCTTCTTTTTCTTCCTGGGTGCCCGCTGCCGAGGCGAAGCTGTCCCGGAGCGGGCCGCGGGAGGCGGGGCGCGGTCGCGACGCGAGGCAGCCGTGACCAGGCTCAACAAATCACTGTCTGCACAGCGTTCGAGTGCCGGCAGCCTTAATCGCACGCGTGGCGTGGCGGGAGGGGGGCCTCATTCAGATAAACTCACACAGACACACACACAAATACAGCCTCCGCTGTCATTGTGACGTGAGCGTCGCCACGGGAGTCTGGTTATTTCAACGATTATCCAGCTTTTTCCGGTTACTATCTGATGTGCGACGACCAGGCCGAGCCCCGCCGCCGGTAACGCGGTGCGAGTTGGCTTGCCCGGCGGTCCGGGGCCTGGGGGGCCGGGCCTGCCCCCCAGACGCCGCCAGACGCGCCACAAGTTCTCGCTCGCGGCTCGCGTGGCTCGCAGGAGTGGCTCGCGGCGTCTGGCGGCTCGGTGGCCGGGGGCAGTGCAGCCAATCAAGGCTAGATTAGCGCGCACCGAGGCGAAGCCGTCGCAGCCAGGGGCACCGCCACCGCAACGCGCCGCAACGCCCAGTCCGCCGGGTGGGCAGTGTTTGGCGGGGCAAGGCGAAGGCGAAGGCTACGTGCTCCGCGTCGGACGGGCCGACGGACCAGGGACACGCCGCCGCCCAGAGACCCACACCCGCAGTGCCCCACCGGCAATAATATGGTGCAGGCGCGCGGCGACTGCCGCTACCAGCAGGTCGCCGTCCAGGACCCCGTCCAGGACCTCGGCCAGCATGGCCAGCACCAGGACGTACGTACAGTGTGTGTGCCGCCGCCGCTCCGCGCCCCGATCAGTGTGGGAACAAGTTCTCCTCTCCAGCGGGGCTGTACACTAGTTTGATTCCGCGACCAGTGCTCCACCGCTGTCTCTCTCGCACCCCAACGAGCCACCCCGTGAGTGCGAGAGAGACAGCTTCCCGCAACACGTGGCCTGGTCCACGGAGTGGCGTTGCCCGGCAACCTGCCGCCCGCCGCCAACATGCCGGATATTGTTTTGCTCCAATTACCCGGAGTGCGCGGCCGCTCTGTCTCTCTCGCACCCGTGTGGCCTGCACGGGACGACCCACGAGTGCGAGAGAGACAGCCTGCTGCTGGCAGTGTGGGTGGATGTCGCGCTGCTGGAAGCACCCCTCCGACCGCATGTCATGCGAGGTTTTAGGGAGCCAGGCCATGTCTGTCTGTTTTTTACCGCGCATTCGGTGCACTGGTATTCTGTGACTGAGTAGCGGGGTCGCTTGCCGCGCTCCGCCGCGCTTCGCCCACAGCGGCTGGTTCGGGTCAAAGACAGTCAAAGACAAAGCGCCACACGGTCTGCTTGTCCAGCCCCGGGCTTGTGTGGCGTGCGCGCTGCGCGGTGCGGGGTGAGCGGATTGCTGCGCACAGTGGGTCGACTCCGCCTGACCCTGTCGCATATCGCCCCGTCACCAAAGTGACGGCCAAAATTTTCACAGTGCGGTGGGTTATATTCTCGCCGTTTAAAAGCCGACTGGGCGTGACTGACAGCTGAAGTGAGTGAGCAATTGCCCGGTAGCCCGACCGCAAATGAGTCGTCCTTATCTAGAGCTCTCCACTCGAGCGATAAGTGGCGGTTCTGTCCGTGTCCCCCGCGGCCGGCGACTGCCTGCGTCTGCCGGGGACGGCCCGCGAGTGCGAGAGAGACAGAGCGAGGCCTCGTCCCGTGGAAGTGCAGCTGTGGCGCCGGAAACAACCCGTGCTGCTCGGGCCCCGGCCTCGGCCTCGGCCTGGGAAAGGGTCCAGCAGGTTGCCGGCGGGTCGAGGCAGAGGCCCGCCGCGCCACGCGCAGCCTGCGCTAAATTCTCGGCTATTTTCCCCGGGTCCCGCCTCGTCAGGTTCACCGGAGGGAGAGAGAGAGAGGGTCAGCTGCTCTGGCGCGGCGGCGAGGGTCGCTGCCGAGAGCGTGCCCTTGGCCATTTCGGCGGGATTTTCGCTTCGGTCCCTACCTGCCTGACACTGCTGCGGGTCCAGCAGCCTTACCCCGTTCCCTTCCGCCCGGCTTCGTCGCTCTGTCTCTCTCGCACCCGCACGGCCGCACGGGACGCCGTGTGAGTGCGAGAGAGACGGACTGCGAGAGGGGCGAGCCTGGAGGCAAGCCTGGAGGCAAGCCTGGAGGCAAGCCTAGCCTCGCGGCGCCCCTTGTCGGGCTGACTTCCCAAATCCTGCGCAGTACATGGTGCGGTGAAAAGGAGCGGGCCTGACGGGGTGCTTACAGCTTTGCTGCTCCCCCCCCTCTCTCTCTCTCTCTCTCACTACCTCGCTTCTTTCTCCTGCCGTCCCCTGTACGCCCCTTGCCAGGAGGCTGCTGACTCCGAAACACGTCGCGCTGTCTCTCTCGCACTCGTGGGGCGCGTCCGTAGGCCCTGGGCGTGCGAGGGAGACAGCTGATGCCTCGATCCCGCGGCAGGTCTCGTGCTAAGAGCACACTGGACGGGGTTGATTGCGGCCCGCCAGGCCCGCCAGTGGCGCGGAGGGCCCTTCCAGTGTATTCCGTTACTTGAGCAGCCGAGTCCTTGCCGGTCCACCCGCAGCCAGCAGCCCCCAGCCCACCGAGACAGTCGAGCCAGGCCAATTGCCTTCAAGTTTGCTCCCCTGAGCCCGGCCCGGCCTTTCGCGCGGCCCTGGGCTGGGCTGGGCTGGGCGCCCCCCGAACCAGTCGTAGGTCTCTGCGAAAATCAAGACCAGTACTCGGCTGCGCCTCGCCTGGGAGAGCCACGGCGCTAACCACTACACCAAAAAAACAGCCGCACATGAAAGCGTAATTTGCGTTCCCGGCTCGGGGCGCCGGTTTGACCTAAAACGCGGCGTCCTTCTCCTTCTCCTGGAACTCGTTTATTCGCCCTCCTCGGTGACCCCGCCGAGAGCGAGCTGTCTCTCTCGCACGCCGTGCCGCCGAGTCGCCAGAAAGAGAGACTGGCTGCGCTAATTTGCGTGGAGGCGACAGAGGGCGCGCCGGCGCAAAAAGAGCGAACGCCGCGAACGCTGGAGGAAATGAGATTTTCCGCGGCGGTGTCTCTTTTGCACGGGCCGCGACGGCCTTGCTTCGGCTCGGCTGTGACGTCACCGGGGTGGCGCCGCACCGCGCCGCACCGCGCCGCGCGGTGCAGGGACCAACCCGTCTGTCTCTCTCGCACCCCCACGGCCCTACGGGGCGCCGCGTGAGTGCGAGAGAGACAGAGCGAGTGCACTGGCGATGCAGGTGTGGAACGGCGCCGCCGCCCCATCCATCAAGATCGTCCCCGGGGAGCCCTCTCGGGCGCCTCGGGCGCCTCGGCCTCGCCGTCATCCCTAGGTGCGCCGGTGGCGGCGGCGCGTGGCGGCGCGACGGTGGCGCTGCCGGAGGATAGCGCCGTGAGCAGATTTCTTTTTTCTGAAGGTCGCCTGTGCCTCGGCAGTCGGGCCTCCATCTTTAAGACTGGGCTAAATTGACCTTGGGCCCTCGGGCGCGTGCTACGGGCGGTTCGGCCCGCGTCTTGACTCGGGGCTCGGCTTCAGGCGTTTCGGCTTGGCGACTTTACGTGGTTTTGACTTCGGCTTTCGGACGTGACTTTCGGGCTTCGGACTTGCTGGGCTCCTCGGCCTCGGGCGCCGTTCGCCGTTGGGGCCCCTCGCCGTCATCCCTAGGTGCGCCGGTGGCGGTGGCGCGTGGCGGCGCGACGGTGGCGCTGCCGGAGGATAGCGCCGTGAGCAGATTTCCAATATTTATTCATGAAGTCGCCGTTGTGCGGTGACAGCAGTGCCGGGACACTCTCATTCATATTAAAAACTGGCGGCTAAACTTGACATTGGGCCCCGCGGTGCCGCGGTGCGGTGCGGTGCGGTTCGGCCGCCGCCAGGGTCCTTCCGCTTCAAAGTGGAAAGGGTCGCTGCTCGTTGGGTTCGATTCCTCATTCAGATTCATCCTCTCTCTTCCCGGCTGCGATCGCGCAGCGCGGCCCGAGAGCGATTCAGAATCCACCCCAGTGCTCTCTCTCACCCAAGGGACGCCGCATGAGTGCGAGAGAGACAAAGCTAGTCGTTTTTGCAGGTCGTGGTGCCTTCTCTCTGAATGACGGCCTTCTTGTTCTGGTTGCAGACTGTCCCCTCCGCCGCCATGGACGACGACGAGGTGGCCAAAGACCCGGGCGCCCAGCAGCCCCACCACCAGGGCTTCTCGGACGAGGACTTCGAAGGTGAGACCGCAGCCACCGGTCTGTCTCCCTCGCACCCCGACGGGACGCCCCATGAGTGCGACAGAGACAGGGCGACAGCTTGACCCCCGCCCCACGGTCCAGTAATTCAGTTCGGGGAACGCAAACGTTGGTTTAGCGGTCGGTGTCCACCGTCCCGACTGTGTACGCGGCTCGCGGTTTCCGCCGACAGGAACAGGGTCTTCTTCTCCTGCTCCGCAATATTACCGCCGTCCAGGCCACTTGTACCGGGGCCACGGCCGCGGCCTGCGCGCCGGCATTGCCAGCAGTACTGTACCTACCCCCGATGGGGCCCGGGGGGCTGGGCTGGGCTGGGCTGGCAGGCCGGGGCGCTGGCGGACATGCCGACACCGTTTCCCCTCCCGGAGGTCTGCTTTGAGGTGCATCTATTATGGAGCAGCGAGTATGAAATGGCCTGTCGGAGCACCTGGACCAAGGACACAGCGAGGGGGGGAGGGGACACATGTGGCGCTGGAAGCAACTTTGTGTCGACTGGAGAAACGGGCGACCCATCTGCCCGGAACATTCTGCGTTTCCCTGTGTGTGTTTCTGTGTGTGTGCTTTGCATGGGTGTGTGTGCTATCAATGGGGTGTGCCGAGGCGTGCTGTTTGAGGGGGAGGGGGAGGAGAAGGAGGATGCCTGTCACCGGCCGGGCCGGGCCACGTCCCGGGCCCCCTGTTGCAGGCCGCCAGCTAGAAGGCCGTTCGTCGCTCTGTCTCTCTCGCACCCTCCGGGACGCCCCACGAGTGCGAGAGAGACAGAGCGACGGTCCAGGCTCCAGGCGCTGGAGGAGGCCCGGAGGGTCCGGCCCCAATCAAGGAACCACTTCATGCTGGATGCTGGGGAAACGTTTCTGCATCCGTCCGTCCGTCCGTCGCACTGTTTGTCTCTCTCTCTCCCCCAAGGACGCCCCATTAATTTGAAAAGTGGCTTGTCTGATCGTGCCGCGTGCCGGCCTAGTGCCGGCCGCACTCCCCGTGGGGAGCGCCGTGCAGGGCAGGCAGCGCCAACGCACGCCGACGGGTGGGTTGCCTACCTCCCAGGCGGTCCGGCCTCCCGCGTCTCTGGCCTGTCCGTCTGTCTGTCTGTGTGTCCGTCCGTCTGTTTGTCCGTTCTTCTGCTGCCAGTCGCATGACCACGCCCTTCCAGCCCGTCGTGCATTCATACTCGTGGCTTATGCAAATACGGATGCTCGACAAAAAACGTCTCCCGTCGCGACAGCACACCAGCAAGCGTGCTGTTCGACAGAGAGAGAGAGAGAAGAGAGAAAGAGAAGAGAAAGAGACAGAGAGACAGAGAGAGAGAGGGACTGTACTTGGAACGAAATATCGCCAACACGCGCTTGCCCTGCCTCGCTCTGCGCTCTGCGTCGGGGGAGGCCAGGGAACAGATTAAGCCCCGCGGTTCTCTAATGCAATTCATGAGCATTTTACGATCAGCCGAGCGCTCTGTCTCTCTCGCACCTCTGCGGGGCGCCGCATGAGTGCGACAGAGACGGAGACAGGGGCCGCGCTATCGGCCGCGCTGTTTCGGCGATGCATCAACCCCCGGCGAAGGTTGTCGAAAAGCGAATATCCCGAAAGTTAGTTTGTCCAGAACGGCGCGGCAGCGAGGGGCTCCGAAAAGGGGGGCAAAAAATGAGGCGAATTGACGACGGAACTTGTTACTCTTCCCTGCTTACTCTTCGCTGGTTTTCGCCGCCCCACCCCGCCCCGCCCCGCCCCCTGGTCCGGACGGAGTGGGGTATTCCGGGGCGTAAACAGCAAGAAGCCATTTATCTTGCCGCCTGTCGGCCTTTTTTTCCGTTCCTCATTTTAGTTTTTGGCAATTTCTGCCCTCGGCCATCGAAGCCTCTATTATCCGGAAACGACGGCGCCCCGCCACCACGGGTGCAGTTTGCAAAACATTCCGGAAGATAGTCGAATTTTTTTGACACTGACTAATTATTGATTGGAAATGACCGCGTAGTCAAGCTGGGCGCGAACTCGCGTATCCGCCATTTTTATTTTTCGCAGATAAACATTTTTCGTTTCCTTCTTCCAGTGTCGCGTCTCATTTCACGAATCTCCTCGGCGGCGCGTTCAATATCGGCTTAGTTTCGCTCCTCCGGCCGGCATCCCCCGCGCCGCGGGCAGAAGCGGGGGAAGCGCTCGGTTCCCGTTTCCATTTCCGGAAAAAAGAGCGGGAAAAAGGCGGAAGTCGGAGTTCTGTTTGAAGCGCCGGACACGGCAGGGGAGGTATGCGGGACACGAGCCGTGGAGGGTCGTTTTACCTGCCTCTCTCCCCCACTCGTGGAGAGTCCCGCGTCGGTGCGAGAGAGACAGAGCGGCGGGAACGATTCCCCTGAAACTCAAAGAACGGCCAGTGGCGGTGTCACACTGTCTGTCAGGCCCGCTTTGGATGTTCGCGTCCGTGACAGCGTCACATCTCGTTTCGATGTCACGGACATGACTCGGTTCACGCGTGCGACAAAGGGCCGCGTCATCGTTGATCTCCGTTCGGGGGGTCGCTCTGTCTCTCTCGCACTCACGGGGCGTGCCGAAGGGGTGCGAGAGAGACAGAGCGTCGCTGAAAACTATTTTCGCCGGAGCCGCGGCGCCATTACCGCGGCCCCGACGTGGCCGACGTGGCCGACGTCGACGTGCCTCAGATAATAACATTCGAGGTCCGACTCGAGTCTGAAAGCCTCGGCGGCCATGGCCCGGGCCTTGGCGCCGTGCGCCTTGGCGACGGCCTCGCTCGGTGGTGCCACGCGCTCACCGGCTGCGCTGCTCCAAGTTCGGAAGAAAGAGAGAAAGGCGGAACGAAAAATTGAAGTGTGAAATGTAAACAAACTTGTTGTTGTTGTTGTGCCCTCAGGTCACCGAGCGGGCTCCGTGTTCGTGGGCGTGCACATCCCGGGCAACCGGCGGCACTCGCACCACCGCCGCCACCACCGGCACCGCCACGACGGCGACGAGGACGACGACGAACGACCCCGTGAGTACGCCGTGCGCCCGCGCACGTCTACACGAACCGTTTTTCTGGGCTTCACTGTAACACCGTAATCGCAAGGCGAGCCCCGCTGATGCGGCGACAGAGGAGGGTGTACACTGCCGAACGCCAGACGGGCTGCGCCCTGCGCCGCTGCGCGACCTTGTCCAGGACGTCCAGGGCGCCGCACAGCACACAATGGACGGGGGGGGAGCTTTACTGGCCGTTATTGTCTCCGGTGCGGTTATAGGCGCCGTGCACAATCCACGTAACGCGGCGCTGGCTCCGCCCGGCCGGCCTGCGAGTGCGAGAGAGACGGACGGTGTTACGTGATAAGTGGACCACCCTTTATGGTGGAGCGATATTGCAGGCGGGCGCCGCGTCGGAGCGTCGGCCGGCCCGCTCCAGGGCCCGGACGACCTGCCACAGCGAAAGAGAGGCTCAAGCGCCTTTTAGGGTCTCTCCGGCCGCGATAAGTTTCAGCCACCGTTCATGGCAGAGTCGGAGAAAGGTAGAGAACCGCTGGGGGTAGTTGTTGCTACCGAACTAGACTAACGGAATGCTTTGCGATTTTTACAGTGCCCATGCTGGGACGCAGGGGAAGCCGACTGGGGAGCATCTGCGACGATGGAGAGACATGTAAGTAACCTCTTTACCTATTTTCACAATTTTTTCTCTTTTTTCCTCTCTCTTTTTTTCACTGCGCTCCCTTCCCCCAGTCACGCCGCCGTCGCAGAGGGTGCAGTTCATCCTGGGCGAGGACGCCGACAACGCGGCGCACGAGCCGCACCCCCTCTTCTCCGAGATGGGCGAGCTCTTCCAGGAGGGCGAGGACGCGGAGTGGCGGGAAACTGCCAGGTAAGGCCGACTCTCCGTCCCAAAAAAAAGTTGCCCCCGGCGGGATTCGAACCCACACTCACTTGGTGGCGCAGGTGGATCAAGTTCGAGGAGGACGTGGAGGAGGGCGGCAACCGCTGGTCCAAGCCGCACGTCGCCACGCTGTCGCTGCACTCGCTGTTCGAGCTGCGGTCGCTGCTGCTGCACGGCGCCGTGATCCTGGACATGGAGGCCTCGTCGCTGGAGACGGTCGCCGACATGGTGCTGGACAACCTCGTCAACGCCGACTCGCTGCCGGAGAGCGCGCGGGACAAGGTTTGTTTCGGGACATGGAGGTGCGCGCTGACGGCGTCCACGACCTTGACGATGACGGCCTGCTCCAGGTGCGCGAGACGCTGCTGCGGCGGCACCGCCACCAGCACCAGCGGCGGCGAGAGAACTCCGCCACCAACATGACCCGCCTGCCTATCATCCGGTCCCTGGCCGAGATCGGCAGGAACCACTCCGCGTCCAAAAGTGAGTCCCGTCCGCGGCGGAGGCGGCCCCGCACCGGAACCATGACGCCGTGCCCTGTACTAACCGTGCCCCACTTGTCAAGGAGCTGCAGGAGTTTGAACGGGGCTCTCCTTGACCACCAGGCCGTGCCAGGGGGTTAATTTTCACCCCGCCATTTGCGGGGCCCCTCGTGTGTGTCTAGCCGCCAGCACTCCCCCTTCCCCTACAGTGCAGCGCGCGGCGCACGCTGGCGGCGCACATTTAAATACACGAGCGCGAGAATCGGGTCACGGGGTTGCAGGGTTGAGGGAGAGAGGGCGCGCCGAGGCCTCTCATAACAGCAAAGTCATCAAGGAAGAACAACTAGGCCAGCGCCGCCAGGCCGCCAGCGGCGTGCAGCGTGCAACAGCCGGGGGCGGCGGACTCGGTGGACTCGACGGACACGAAGGGAGGGGAGGGGGGAAATCGTGGCGGCAGCGCGCTAAAAAGGCGCTTTTCTGAATCGCTCCGTCTCTCTCGCACCCCGACGGGACGGCCCGTGAGTGCGAGGGAGACGGAGAGTGTGATGAGTCGTATGTGGGACACGACGGCCTGAACAGCGACCAGCAGCAGGGGGAGCCTAGTCCGTTGGCCACCGGTAGCCGCGGAGCGGGCACACTGTGAGGCTTCGGACAGGTGGCGGGGCGGCGAGGGGAGGGGGAGGAGAAATCAGATGAAAAAGAATGGGAGAAGGGGAGAGACATCAGAAGCTCGAAGCCCCCAGAGCCCCGCCACAGCATTGCGTGCCTCGGCGCGCTGACCGTGCAGGAAATATCTCTCACCCCTCCGCCGTCACCACTCCCACCCCCTCCCCTTCCGATTTTTACGCTCCGCACTCACCCATCCCACCCCGGCTACGTATCCTTGGATTTCCCCGGCCACCCTTCACGCCCCTGGCCTCCACCCTTCACCCCGCCTTCACGTCGCGCCTGCAATCCACCTTGATGGGAAAGTTTTCGCTGCCTTTGCAGCCTGCCGGATACAGTGTGCTTCGCGCTCCGGGGGAGGGGGAGGGGAGGGCTTGGTGTGTCGAAGAGGAAGTGTGGTACGCCGAGGGTGCGCGTCAGCGCTCGGTTATTTCTGTGGAAGAGAAATATCACGTGTGTGCGTTTGTGTCTGTGTGCGTGTCTGTCAGTGTGTGTGTGAGTGTGCTTGTCGATTCCGTTGCGGCTGATGAGCTCGCTCTTCGCCCAAGAGCGACCCCGCAGTGGACTGCCGCGCTCATGTCGCTCCACTCCGGCCTCTCTGGCATTAATTGCCGTGTCATGGACCGAGCGCTCCATTTCGATTATGTACGCCGCGGGGGGATGGGGGTGGGTTGGCTGGGCGGCGGCCGGCTGGGATGAGAAAATTAAGGTTAAATCCCCGGCAGGCAATTTGTTATTGCGGCCCGGAGGCTCCGCGTCGCGCGTCGCGGCGGCGGACCAATTTTTCATAGCGCTTGTCACAGTGCCAAAGCCAACAGGCTGGCGGGACGAGGCCGTCTCGAGTCTCAGGGCGGCCGGGGTGCACTGGAGGGCAGGCCGGGCACTTTCAACAGGTACACCCGGGCACGCCCCGCCCGCGCCCCGCCCCGCCCGCCCGCCCCGCCCCGCCCCCCGCCCCGACGCGCCGTCCATGGCCAAGTACAGTACCCGCCACGCTGGTCTAGCTGGTGTGGGCTCATGGCCGCGGCCCATGGCGTTAGTCAACAGGTCCGCATGGCCGCATGGGACCAGAAGGACCGCGCCCCGAAAATTAAAACGCGGCACCCGCCGGGGATCGAACCCGCGCCGCCCGCGCGACGAAGCAGTGCTCATCCGACTGCGCCACGGCGTCATGGACCTCCACCTAACGAACCACCTGATGTGATGGCAGCAAGCTCCGGCAGCCGCAGTCCTTCCCCGCAGCCCCGCCCCCAGGGCGGCCAGGGCGGCCAGGGCGACGGGCTGAGTCGCAGCCATTCCTACAGTGGAGGCGCCAGCGGGGTCCCCAAAGACGCCGCCAACGCCGCCAACCCCGCAGGGACCGGCGTCCAGCTAGAAGTGAAATATTGCAAGGGGTCCTTTCTGACGGTGCCAGGAGGTACACACCGTACACACGGTACACACGGGCCCGTTTAGTACCGAGGAACCCGGCCGCAACCCCCTACCCCTGTCTGTGTACCCTACCCACCCCACCCTACCCAGGCAGCACACTGTGAAAAACTTGACTTTCAGTCCGGATGGACAGTAGTAAACCAGCACAGGTTAATTAACAGGTCCTTTCTCTCAAGTTTTCAGACCGTCACGTCAGTCAGTCACAACCTTTTTTCACAGTGTGCGGTGGCTATGAATGGTAACCCTAGGAGCCCGCGTAGGCCTCCAACCCTCCCGCACCCCGTGTGTTATATAGCAAGCACCCCGCGCTGTATATTGTGTATGTAGGCTAGGACCGCTAGGTGCGGCGGGCGGGCAGCACGCGGAGGCCGAATGCTCTTTTATTACCCTGGCTCTGTCTCTCTCGCACCCATACGGGAGGCCGCAAGAGTGCGAGGGGGAGAGAGAGAGCCAGTCAGTCAGTCTGCTGGCTCGCGAATGCCACAAAAATGCATAAATTGAGTAACTTTTGGCCGGCGTGCCCCCCGCCCGCGCGCCAGCACCCCCTCCCTCCCTCCTCTCCCTCCCCGCGCCCTCACTGCGCACCGGGTAGGGCGGGCCCTTCTGTGAAGGGATAGAGGTATTGCTTTAGGGGGAAGTGGCTTTGACAGTGCCCGTCGCAGGGCTCCGTTTGCCCTTTGCTGCGCCAACAGGTCGAGCATTAAAAGGGATCCGTTAGAACTCTCAGCCGCTTCTTCACTTTTTTATTTATTTTTTTAAAAATATGTTACAAGTATTTTGTGTTTAGTGCGTTGATTTGATTTTGTAAACTATTTAGTACCCCTTCTTTATTTGCTGTACGTATTTTGGAATTGACTATCATTGTTTTTGTACTGATATTTTTTTCCCATTCTTTTGCGTTTTGCCTCACCTTTTTTCCTTTATTTACTAGCGCACCTTTTGTTTTGTTTCTTTCGTTTTTGTTTATTTTGTTTTGCTATTTTGTTTGTTTCTCCAGAGAAGCGAAAAGCTTTGAAAGCCGCGCGCCTTCGCGGTGAGTACATATAAATGGGCGGGGGAAAAGATTCGTGTTTTTTTTTTTCGGTGTTGGTGTCGCTTTGGTTTTCCTCGCGTGGCAAAAGAGTACCGTGTGGATTTTTTTTACAGTGGGAAAAAAGGGAACTGTCTGCACGTGCTGTGAATAACAAGGCGCGTAACCAGTAACAGTTTGGGAAACGGTCGAGGTTTAATCGTGGCGCTATCCCTGCAGGCTCATTCCGAGCGGTGCCTCCGTCGCTCTGTCTCTCTCGCACCGCTACGGAACGACCCGCGAGTGCGAGAGAGACAGAGCGACGAAAGCGACCCCCCTATACGCTTGGTGTTCTCCTGGTCCCCCTCCCGATCCTTCGGCTTGGAGCACCCCCTGCATGAGTGTGTTGTTTGTTGTGTCCCACAGTTGACGAGCAGCTATCCACGCCTAACCTCTTGGGCTCTGGACTGATTAACAAACCGTCCGATGTGGGCCGGTACCTCTCCATCCCTGGCGCGGGTACTACTTTATTTTTCATTTTACCTTTCTCGTAACTACCAATCTTTTTTTTCTTCAGTTGTCAGTCTGCCAGAGCGAAAGCGTTTACTAGCATTATCTTTATTTTTGAGGACTCGATTGGAAGCTTTCCCGCATCGTTCTGACAGACTGACCGGCCTCTTCCTTGCCGCACCATCTTTTTCTGTCTCTTTTCTAGTCGCCTCGATGTTTCCCGAGTAGCCTCCATTTGACTGTCTAGCGCTTTGTCTGTTTGCATTATTACTGCGAGTCCTTGACTCGTTATCGGCTTTGCATGCCCCTTTTGTGTACTACTTCACCGTGGGCTTCATTCGACCCGCTTCTAAACTCAATCGAATCGCTGTTATAAAGCAACTCTTATAACTTTTTTTTAAAAAAAAAAAAAAAAAACTTGCGCGCAGTGCGGAATCGTTCCCGCGACCGTCCACTCCTTGGCGAGTTATTAAAGCCGTTGGTGCGGAAGTGAAGCGGCCCAATTAAAAACGGCCGCCCTTGCGTGAGATCTGGACGGATCTGGGCGCGTTCCATTTCCGCAATGCGCGAGATAAAAATTAAAAAGCCTAATTGTGACCAAATTGTGACCGCTGCCTGACCACTGGTCTGCCTCTGGACGGATTCGGACGCGTTCCATAACCGCACTGCGCGGGATAAAAATTTAAAAGCCTAATTGTGACCAAATTGTGACCGCTGCCTGACCACTGGTCTTGCTGCCTCCGCAGGCGAGGGGATGGAACGCAGCCCCAGCGCCATCTCCATGCCCAGGAACCACAGCTCCACCGCACTGGGCGATTTCAGCACCGAGCACAAGGTGGGTCAAATAACCTCGGAACTAGGGGAAATAATGGAGCATGCTACTGTAGGAAAAGTTTGCTGCGAGATGAAAATAGAAAATAGAACCCCGGGGAGCCATGGGGAGCCAGTCGCGTCGCCTCTCAGGAGTGCTCTTTTTTGCTGTTTGTGGTTTTTGTTCACTGCGTGTTTTTTTCCTCCTGTCTCTCGAATTTAGTGCCTGCTATAACAAGTGTCTGGCAACAAAGACTCTTCCTAGAGCTCCCTTTCTTATCTTTCTCACTTTCTCCGTCGGAAAATTGGCTCCCGACTCCGTGGCTCACAAAAGTTTTCTACAATTGCCTTTTCTTTGCAGAGCAATGTCCAGTTCATGCGGAAGATACCCCCCGGCGCGGAGGCGTCCAACATCCTGGTGGGCGAAGTGGACTTCCTGGAGCGGACCGTGGCGGCCTTCGTGCGTCTCAACCAGGCCTCGTTCCTGGGGGACATCACCGAGGTGCCCGTGCCCACGCGCTTCCTCTTCGTGCTGCTGGGCCCCACGGTAAGGGAGGGGAGGAGCGGCTTGGCGAGCGGCTTGCTGCCTTAGCGCCTTACCAGTGGCGGGTAGGCAATCCAGCTGCGCCGCGCGCACGGCAGCGCTGCGGTGTGGCCTATGCTCTCATTCACAGGCGCTCGCTCTCTCGCTCGGCGCGCAGCCCTCGCCTCGCCGCCCCCCGCAACTGGGCCATTTTTTGTGTACAAATTCATTTACGGTTTATATTTTTTAGAAACCTATTTTCAAAATTTTTAGTGAAATTTTTGAAATTTTTCAAAATTTCTAAATTTTTCAAAATTTTTAAAAAATTTCAAATTTTTTCAAATTTTGATACGAAAGCCACTTGTTCCTCCTCGCCAAGCTCGCTTGTGTTCCGCAGGGCGGCATCGCGAGCTTCCACGAGATCGGGCGCGCCATGGCGACGCTCATGTCGGACGAGGTGTTCCACGAGGTGGCCTACAAGGCCCGCAGCCGGAACCACCTGCTGGCCGCCGTGGACGAGTTCCTGGACGCTGTGACGGTGCTGCCGCCCGGCGAGTGGGACCCCAGCATTCGCATCGAGCCGCCCGCCGCCATCCCCTCGCAGGTGCGGGTTCAAACACCGCCATTTTCGTGTCAAAAATAACAAATTTTCAGCCAGTTTTTTTCGAATAAAAATTTCAAAATTTAATTTGCAGGACCCGCGCAAGCGGAAGCAGGAGAAGCTCGGGCAGGACGTCGACCCCGAAATCCTGGAGCAGAAACTGCGGGAGCAGTCCGGCCTAGCGCGCACCGGCCGCCTGTTCGGGGGCCTCATCAACGACCTCAAGCGCAAGAAGCCCTGGTCAGTGCCGCCTCGGCGAACCGAAAACCACCATCATTCCGTTCGGCAGCGCGCCGGATTAAAACCGGCAGGCTGATTCCGAACAGTGCTTTCTCTCTCGCACTCACGGCGCGTGCCGCAGAGTGCTGGAAAGACGGGCCACTGTTCGGAAGCAACCCAAAGCGACGGCCAAAAGCGGCATGCTGACGGTGTTGCCGTCGTCGTCCCGCAGGTACTTCTCCGACTTCAAGGACGCGCTGTCGTCGCAGTGCGTGGCGTCCTGGATCTTCCTGTACTTCGCCTGCCTGTCGCCCATCATCACCTTCGGCGGGCTGCTGAGCGAGGCCACCGGCAGGAACATGGCGGCCATGGAGTCGCTCGTGTCGGGCTTCGTGTGCGGCGTCGTGTACGGCCTCTTCTCGGGGCAGCCGCTCACCATCCTGGGCTCCACCGGCCCCGTGCTCGTCTTCGAGAGCATCGTCTACGAGTTCTGCAGGTACGTCAGGGTGTTCGAACCCGCGACCGCGCTCTCGGCGCGCCGGGACTCAACGACCTCGGCCACGGTGCGTGTTGCAGCGAGATGGGCTGGGACTACATGTCGTTCCGACTGTGGATCGGCATCTGGATCGTGGGCATCCTCATCGTGCTGGTGGCCATCGACGCCAGCGCCTTCGTGTGCTACATCACGCGCTTCACGGAGGAGAACTTCGCCACGCTCATCGCCTTCATCTTCATCTACAAGGTGAGCACGAAGGCGCGAGCCGCGCAGCAGCGCCGAGTCCAGGACACCGACATCATCACCGTCCCTGTTCGCAGGCCGTGGAGAACGTCCTGTCCATCGGCAAGAGGTTCCCGCTGAACACCCACGCCGGGGTGGAGCTCAACTACGACTGCTCCTGCATCCCCAGCAACTTCACCACCACGTCCACCACCTCCATCAACTGGGCCAACGTGTCCGTGCAAAACTGTCAGGCGCTCAACGGCACCCTGGTGGGCACGGGCTGCTTCACGCCCAAGTACGTCCCCGACGTGTTCCTCATGTCCATCATCCTGTTCCTGGGGACCTTCATCCTGTCCGTGCAGCTCAAGGACTTCAAGAACGCGCTGTTCTTCCCGTCCAAGGTACGCGACCGATTCCTATTGCCACGCCCGGCTTCTTTACTTTCCCCCCCCCTCAAATATATTAGCATTTTAAATTATTTTTGTTGAACAGGTTCGGCAATTTGTTAGCGATTTCGCCGTCATCATCGCCATCATGTCGATGTCCTTCCTGGACTATTTCGCCGGGGTGAACACGCCGAAACTCGAGGTAAAACTTAATGACAAAAATGGTTTTGGCCGAACTTAGCCCTCTAAGTAGCGAAATTTTGCCCCCCCCCCCCCTCTGGATCCGCCCCGAAACGCACCTCGTCCTGCTGCAGGTGCCGAACGAGTTCAAGCCGACGCTGCCGTCGCGCGGCTGGATCATCTCGCCGTTCGCCGGCAACCCGTTCTGGTCCATCCTGGTGGCGCCGCTGCCCGCCCTGCTGGGCACCATCCTCATCTTCATGGACCAGCAGATCACGGCCGTCATCGTGAACCGCAAGGAGAACAAGCTGAAGAAGGGCTGCGGCTACCACCTGGACCTGTTCGTGCTGGCCAACCTCATCCTGGTGTGCTCGCTGATGGGGCTGCCGTGGTTCGTGGCCGCCACCGTGCTCTCCATCAACCACGTCAACTCCCTCAAGCTGGAGTCCGAGTGCGCCGCGCCGGGCGAGAAGCCACAGTTCCTCGGCGTCAGGTACGGAGCCCCACACCGTAAGTCCCTTTTGTTGTTGTTTTTCTCGTCTGATTTTAAATTTTGTTTTTTTTGCTGTGCAGGGAGCAGCGCGTGACGCACGTCCTCATCTTCCTCACCATCGGCCTGTCCGTGTTCATCACGCCCCTGCTCAGCCACATCCCCATGCCGGTGCTGTTCGGCGTGTTCCTGTACATGGGCGTCGCCTCCCTCAAGGGCCTGCAGTTCTTCGACCGCATCCTCATCATGTTCATGCCCGCCAAGTACCAGCCCGACTACATGTTCCTGCGCCAGGTGCCCATCATGCGCGTGCACATGTTCACCCTCATCCAGCTGGCGTGCCTCATCATGCTCTGGGTCATCAAGTCCTTCAGCAAGACGTCCATCCTCTTCCCGCTCATGGTGAGGCGAGACGGATCGGAGTGCTCGGCAGGGGAAACATGTCTACCGACTCTCTAACGAATGTTCATGTTCGCAGCTCGTGGTGATGATCGCCATCCGCAAGGGCCTGGACTTCATGTTCACGCGGCGCGAGCTCAAGATCCTGGACGACATCATGCCCGAGACCATCAAGCGCACCGAGGAAGACCAACGACAGCTGGAAACGGCTGACGTGAGTCCCGAGGCTGAGACTAACGGCGAGGTGCCCACACACATTCTCTTCCGTAGAGCTGCGTCTTGAGACGAGGCCAGCGCATGCCTTAGCGCGTTAGCAGCGCGTTAGCGTACTCCGGCAGGCGGATTCCGAAGTGTCGCCCTGTCTGTGTCGCTCTCAGGACGAGAGAGACAGAGCGACTTCATCGGAATCGCTCGACCGAATCTTGAAGCATGCAGTTGGACTTTGTGGGTAAATGCCGGAGGAGCGACCGTGTGTTGAGTTATGCCTCGTCGGGACTGCTGTGCTTGCCTCGCGCCGTGAGGCTAGGCCACCCAACTTGTCCGTTACAGGGAAAGTTGGGTTGCCTACCCTCACGGCGCTCGTCGGACGTGGTTGACGCGGCGTTGACCCATTCTCTGCCTGTTGCAGGACGAGAACTTGCAGATCCCCCTGGCCAACGGCAACATCATGAAGATCCCGCTGGCGTCCATCAACATCACCGAGGAGGTCAACAAGACGGGCATCTGGAAGCAGGTGAACCAGGCCAACTCTCCCACCAAGGACGACCCCAAGAAGAAGCTGGCTCCGGGCGTGAAGAACAGGTAAGGCGTCTGCTGCCGGGGCGGGGGTGTGGTGTTTGGTTTGCCATCTAGCTCTTGTGGAAACGTCGGCCGCGGATGTCCACACCACTTTCCCGCCAAAAACACGATGGACTTGGATTTTCCGTTTTGCAGCAGCAAATCTAAGAAGCGCGGCAACAAGAAGGACGCGCTGCTGGACGAAGAGAACAAAAGACTGTCTACGATGGCGGAGGAGGACGACGAGGACGAAGGGATCACCATTAAGGTGGGCGGTTCGGATTCCCTACCCCCCAAGGCCCCCCAGGCTCCGCCCCTGGCTCCGTCTGGCACCCCCGCGGGGGCCAAGGACATGGTGCTCGTCACAGAACCAGGGCCGGGGTCGGGGGGCCCCGCGGCGCCAGTGTGAGAGTTCTAGGCCGCCCACGCTCCACGCTCTGCAAACTGACCTCCCTCCCTCCTACCTCAGTGAGTAGCCGGACCTGCCCCTGCCCTATCCCAGCCCCGTCCCGGAACCCCTTGGCTTGTGCTCCACCCCGCAGCACGTGCTCCGCGCTGTCTGCGTGGCCGTAGTCTCGCCCGCCATCCCGTAGCGTCGCTCGTGGTCGCAGTAGCGTCATTTGTTTTTGCACGGTACCGTCAGCATGGAGGTCGTTGTTGTGTACTCGCCCGGTCTCGTCTTTGTAGTGTGCCGGCCTGCTGACCCTCCCCAAGGCGCTCGCTTGGCAGCCCCTCCTACTCGTGAGAGTCTAGGACTCCGCAGCTAGGACGGCTGCTGTTCTGACCGCCAGTTTATTTCGTTGTTGTTGTTTTTATTTGATTTTTTTCTCCAGCACCGTTTGTTTTGATTTTGTTGTTTCCTTTATTTTTCTTCCGCTTCGACTAGGCACGCCAAAGTTGATAAGTGCACTGCGATTATGCCTGCTGGGTAGGCAACCCACCCAACACCCATCCACTGTAGCTGCCTGGGGGCTCTTCTCCTCTTAGAGCCCAGTCTGTGTTTCAGACGTCATTCTAAAATGCTGTTCGCCTCCACCAGGTTAACTACGGACCCAGAGCCGGAAGAAACATGAACGGAACCGAGACCTCGGTGTAAGAAGGCCACAACTCGCAATCGACAGAAACGTCCACGGTCTGGGCGCTCCACGACGTGGCCTGGTGTCAGTCCCACCCCCTAGTATTAGCATCATGCACCCTGGGCCCCACTGGCCCCTTGTTCAGCCTTGTAAGATCAATTTAATTTTATTTCAAGTGTATTCGGCGGTGTAATTTAAGTGGTACGCTGGTCACCTACATGAATTTGTGAATCAAGGCGGCCTTAAATCGTTTTGAAGACAGTGCCAACAGATTGTTACTCGCTTGTACGATAATTGTGAAGTTTATTTTAATATGCATCGAAAATATATGTACAAATTGTGCTCCTTGTATGTTTGAGAATCAGGATTGCCTTATAAATCCACACACAATTTTATAGAGAACACTTTATTGATGATTTAAAACAAAGCTAACAACACACTATTCACAAAGTCACATGCAACATAGAGTGCTTTGCACTGGGATCATAGTGGGTAAAATGTCATGAGTACAGCTCGCATTTACAGGAAATGGTGCATACAAAGTGTAAGTTTAGCTTAGTGAGGGATATATCAAGGGTAATAAACTATAGAAAATATAGGAAAGAGGAGATAAAATTCATTTCACCAATTGGAAATAAACAATCCCAACAAGGGTGGGTCTTCAATTTGAGGTTTCCCCCTTGAAATTTTGATTAATACTGGTAAGTGCAAAGCAATCACAATATCATGAATAAATAGCAATAAAATCTCACACATTATCAACAATCATGATGTACATTCTTCCCCAATTCGTCAAAGGATTGATTAAATTTAAAGCTTCGGAGTGGCAAAAATCATGCAAAAATGTACAAAGCCTATAACAGACAACTTATATTTGTGCTCAAGAATTAAAATTGAGAACAGCTTACATATATACACTTAATGCTACCATGGGTAACAGGTTTGTTCAAGTCTTAAAACTTATCACACGAGTGATATCAATTGCTCACTTCAGGACTAAAAGAGTAAATTAAATATTCAAAAAAGAAAAACATCAAAAATTGTGTTTAAAAATTACGTCTTTACAAATTTCATAAAAGATCAGCTTTAAAATCTCCTGATATGAAAGCATCATCATAATTACAATTTCTTATAACTTAAGATCATCCACAAGGGGAATGGTGGCCACTTCAAAGAACACCCTAAGAAAAAGAAAATGTGTCATAAAACTTCAAAATAACTAGTCAAGAGAATAGCTAAGATAAATTTACTCACTTGTGAGAATATTTGTTGCGAACTGTTTGGACAGCAGTCTTGGGCTTTTTATGAAGCATGTCATTCAACTGATGGCAAATATCATGGATGTCCTCCAATTTGTAGCCTGCAAGAAGTTTCAGTTAAAATCAACATGCAAAATCAAATCAAACCAAGGTAGGAGTATAACACTTACCAGAATAGTACTCTAGGGTTGGGGTCCAGCCACCAAGGTTCTGCATTTTCAGAGAAAGCAGGAGGGCGCCAGCAGCAAGTTTGGAGTCTGATAGAGTCACCATACTGTACTCCAACAAGGACAACTCCAAAATGTACCGGGCCAATGTGAGCTGAGGCATGGCGATTTTGGCACACTGCAAACACAGTCATTAGATTTCCGTACCACATTGAGCTGAATCAAATAGGAAGTCAAGAGCCAAAGCTTACCCTAGCATAACGTCGCAAAAATCTGTAGGAGAGGGGCATGCTAAGGTCAAAGCCAATCACTCTCAAGATGCTTGCTTCCATTGCAATCAGTTGATCATGAGTATACGCTCCGTCACAAATGTAAGTGAGATCTTCAACAAGAGGAGGTACTCTTTCCTAAAAAAGAAAGTGGCAAGCGTAAGTGAAAGGGTCAGGATTAAAAATGCACAGGGAAAGATGGACAACCATGGTCATGAATGAACTTACATCGTACTTGCTGGCAATGAACATGGCAGCAGCTCCAACAAGCTGAAGGGTTTGTTTACTGACAGTGACTTTGGAAAGATAAATGTCAACAATCTTGACTCCAAGGTACAGGGTCTCATGATTGAGTTCAAAGTTCTCCTGGACTTCAACCATCCAGTCAATGAGCAGAGACCGCATGAACCTTGTCAAATCAATCTGCTTGTCCATGTAGTCATCAATTTTGAACATGGGCTGAAAGTTCAATTTTGTCGAATGAAATTACTGCAGTAAAGCACACTACACAAGCTCAAGACAGGAACACACCTCTCTACTCTTCAGGTACTCAAAAATGTCCATGGCGTACTCAGAAACAGCAAAAGGGTCATTGGCACATTCAGCGTCATAGTCCTCAACACCAGCAGGTAGTTTGGAAACAGGAGCTTCCTCTTTCACTTCAGGACAAGGTTCAACCTCAGGGCCTTGGTTGGAAGTTTCATCAGGACTGTAAAAAACAAGAATTTAGCAACAGGCTAAGGAACAGAAAAAGTTCAAATTAACTTTTAGTTTAACTTACTTGATGTCAAGAGCAGAGACGTACAAAGAATTCTCACTAGATTCATTGGTCAAACTAAGACGGGCAGATAAACGTGCTGACTGCCTCACTGGCTCCTTAGGTGCAGGTTTTGCCGCCGCAGTAGCTTTTGGCTTCGAAATGCTTGTTTCTAAAGCAGTAGCAGCTGTAGCTTTGCGGGTTGCCAGAGGATTGCTAGTAGAGCGAGACAGTGCCTGCCTTGTTGGAACGACTGTCTTGATGGAGGGCTTCTCTGCAGAGACCCTCTTGGTAGGCTGCCTGATGGAAACTTCCTTCTTATCTTCAACAGGCTTCTTGTCCTTGAACTTGCTGAAGGCCTTGGTGTTGGCAACATTCTTCAGAACATTTTTGGTGTCATTAGCTGACTTACCAATAGCCTGGGAAGATGTTAAGACACATTAAAAAACTTAGCTATGCAGCTTATCTAATTTAACAATTTCATCCTCTTCAAAATACTCACATTAGTGATGTCACCAAAGGCAGATCGCTTAGTAGCTTTCTTGAGGGGAGATTCAGCCTTCCGCTTGCCCACAGCCTGGTTCTCTCCCAGGACGCTCATCGTGGTACGCTTAGCACGAGTACCAACACCGTTAGTCCCGGCATTGCTGTTGGGCTGCCACTGGAGAGAACTAGACCGTGTGGGAGGCATTGTTACAGTGCCTCGCTGAAACAAAAGAAAATAGGGTTGAAGCTAGAAAGAAACAAAAATAACCAAATTTGATGCCTGAACTTGGCACAAGCAACAAGTAGCACACCAGAGGAGAGACACCAACTGTCAAACATTATCACAAGTGGAAGCCCAAGCCAGCTACATACCATAGCAGGTTTGATAGAATCATAACAGAATTTAGCAGTAATAATGGCAGCTGATAATCCACAACAAGTATATCCACGAAATTTAGCTGAAACATTTCTTATCAAAGACTTGTTGACCATGCTGAAGGCAGAAGGCCCCAACTGTTGCTGACCGAGGCTGCACTCCAACTAAACACCTCAGCCAAGCAGAAGGACAAGCTGAGCGTGTCCAGACTTGCTGGCATCCTTCCCCCACCACACCCTGTACCCCCCTCCCTGCCTCAACCACACCCCAGAGCTACCCTCCCCATCCCCACCCCTCCATGGACATATGGCACCCTGAAGGATGAGTTTAGCATGGGCTGCTGCAGTAAGGCCCCCTAATCACAGCGCTACCAAAGCAGCGCTACAGTTTCGGAAGAAAATCAGACCAACGAAGAAAGCCTAACAGCACAGGGCAAACCCAAACAATACGCAACTAATGTGGCGCAAAACCATGAGGATGAGGAAAATCAAGGGAGCCAAAGCAAGACTGCTACATAACCCAAAGGAAATGATATCACAATAGGGCACTTAAGTGTACAGAAACTAATAGACTGAACACATCCCACACTAACCATAAACTGCAATGAAGCATCAAAGAGTATTTAACTCAGATGTTTAGAAGTAGATAAAAACTAGAGAATTTTCAAAGAGAACATGCAAACAAAGCTTTGCAAAGGAAGATAGATGATCATACAAGCCGGACTAACAACTACGAAATCAAGTGAACTAAACATAAACCAGACTTAAAATGGGCACCAGGCTTAGAACAGTAATGAAACCGAAACTGAATTTGAAGCGGTGTACCGTACCGGCCACCACTACAAAGAAGCAAGCCGAAACGTAGGACCAAAACATAGGCCCATGCCACCGCACCCGCCACGAGATCAAAACGCGCCAAGTCGAAAAGTTAAACCACAGCTAAGCGATGGGAAAGCCAGGCTCTAAAAGAATGGCACGACGGATTACTCGAGCTGCAAGACTGAGTTTCATACAGGTAAAGCGCGAAAACTGGTGTTCTAGTAACCTACACAAAAATGGAGGGAACCAGCAGGCCCTCACACCCCCTTGGGCCCAACCAAAGCTCAACAGTCAAATTCGGCAAAACGAGAGCCCCTAAGAGAGGCGAATGGTCCAGGGGCTAACCAGCGGTGCTCGAAAACAACGAGGCAAAGCGAGATGATAAAATAATCCAAGCCGCGGGTAAACGAGTGCTAGGCCGGAACAGTGTACCGGCACACAAGTTTCCGGACTCGAGAAAACGTTTGATATAGGATGGAATCGTGAACTTTTCCTCCCAACGAACCCGGCAGTTCCATAAATGTCAAAGAGATAAGAGACAGGAGGGTGACTTACACAGATTTCACTGGAGACCGTTAACGAGAGCCGTGTTGTTCTCCAGTTGACGCTGTTTCAAATGCAGCTGTGTGACGGTTGGCTCGCGATCTGATTGGCTGCGGAGCGACGCCTTCCTCTTGTGATTTTTTTGCTCTTTTTTTTTCTAAAAAGCACTGCCAACACACGAAACTGACCAGTAAGATTAAAATGTAAAGCAAACTGATCAATGGCATACATAAACTCGATTTAAATTCAATTGTTTGTCTCAAAAAGTATTTTTTGAAAATCAAAGGAGTTTTGTTTGATTAAGATTCATAAGTACTAAATTTTTACGGGGTTGGTTCTCCCGGAAATCAAACAACAAACGCTACAGCGCCACCGTGCGGTAAAAATGTGAAGCTGTTTGAATGAGAAGTGTAGCAGACGATGTTTGAAGGTAATAACAATTTTTTCTTGGTCTTTTTAGTTTGTAATTTTGACGGGCATTCCGCCTTTAGTTAAACAAACTTTATTCGAATGTTTTTACGGTTATTTCAATGTGTGTGGTGCTGCGTAGTACTGTACTAGTCGGGCTGTCAACACGTCAATCATTGTTTGCCAAAGTGAAACTGTATTTCCTGCTATTTGTGCACATTGTCATGACTGTTTCAATACTTCCTCGTTATTGTTTATTAATTTTTACTGCTTTTATTCCATCTCAGTATTTTTCACCGGCACATTCACTATCATCAATGGTTTACAGGTTAGGTGCTGCTGTACTCAACGCACCTTGAACCCGCCTGATTCTTATCAAGCCTCGTCGTGCACACAGACCCTCTGAACCATCACGAGAGAGAAAGAGAAAGAAAGACAAAGAACATTTTTTCCCACCTGCATTGGTGATATTCACTCATTCGCAATGGCCAGAGCTGTCATTCCACCCATTTCACGACTGTGTGAAGGAGTTATTCGTATTCTGGGAATGAATCCAGGAATGATGGAATTACAAGGAACTAACACTTACCTCTTAGGAAGTGGAAAAGGTAATTATGTTCTAATATTTAAAGTATGCAAACATGTTTAAACCATGTTATTAATTCCCTTTGATCTTCTTCAGACGGATCCTCCTTGATGCGGGGGATGAAAATAAACCTGAATATATTCAGAATCTGCAGAAAGTATTGAAGGAAGAAGATGTTGATTTGGAACATATCATCATCACTCACTGGCACCATGATCACATTGGAGGCGTCAAAGAAGTCTTGAAGCATGTTAATGCAGGTAAATGGAGTGCTTGAAAGCTGTTAATGTTTCCTTTATCAATACATAATGGGCAAAATTAATTGATTTGAGTTAATCTTTTCCTGAAACAGATGTTTCTGTGTGGAAGTATCCTCGAACTGATGGCGATGAGCAAGAAGGGATCCCATTAAAATTTTTAAAAGATGGCCATGAGTTTAAGACTGAAAATGCTACCTTCAAGTATGTATTTCTGCTTCCAAAATCATTATTTTGCTCAATGTTTGTATAATAACTCTTTTCTGTATTGTGTAGGGTCTGCCATACACCTGGGCACACCACAGACCACATAGTACTTTTTTCGCCTACCACTGGCCAAATGTTCAGTGGAGATAATGTCTTAGGTGAAGGTACTGCTGTATTTGAGGATTTATATGAATACATGAGGTCCTTAAGCCTTATGGTTGGTATGAAGCCAACTGTGATCTTCCCTGGACATGGTCCAGTTGTTGAAGTAAGTTTTATTTCCCCTTTTCATTTTATTGACCTCCTAATGCTTGTGTTGCGGTTTGTTTTACCTATTGTGTATCTTGTCTTAGGATCCAGTGAAGAAAATAACATATTACATTGACCATAGAAATGCTCGTGAAGCTCAAGTTTTAAAAGTTCTTTGTGACAATCCTGATAAAATATTCAGCGCTTTAGAGATAGTCAAGATTATTTATGTGGTATGTATTTCAGAAACATTCACACTTTTGAGCTTTACTCTTAATTTTACTGGAGCTAAGCTTACATTTTTTAAATCTTTTTGCAGGATGTGAATGAAAATCTCCACTATGCAGCTTCTATAAATGTAACCCACCACCTGGAGAAACTTGTGAAGGAAGGTAAAGTAATATCATCAGGAGATGGTTGGCAGTATCGTAAATTGGAATCGAGCTTGTAAGATAAACCAATGTTGGTGTGTAGTAAATCACAGTGCTTTTGAGATTCCTTTCAAATTTCCATTTTTAAAAGATAAGTTGTTAGATTTGGTATATATTTTATCATAATTTTACTCAGTTTTATAAATATTTTTCTATTTATGGTGTCGGGTGAGAAAGATGTATTTTTTCTATGTCACATCTGTGAAAGTTGGGTGGTGAGGTTCAAGGCAATGCTAAGCAACTGGACAGATGTTTGTCAATATGTTAACATGAATTTATTTCTATGCTGTACATTAATACACAAGTTTCAGCTATATGTACAATACAATATATGATTCATTTTCTTTCCTTGATTTTATAAAAATAGTTATATTTACACATATTACCATTATGAAGAGAAATTTATAATTCATATCACAGACAATTTAATTACTATACTAACTTTGACTCAGGTAGATGGGTCGTATTTCATTAAGAATAGCTAATCTTAACAGAACAGTTGGTATCAATCAGGAGAAAAATGAAAACCAAACTGTTACATGTTAAACTGGAATTGGCACTCACAAGGGGACTTCAGTTCAATCAAAACTTAGCATTTGGACGGAGCAGATGATGTTTGTTGAGACATAGGAATAAAGCCTCCAGGGAAAGCCTTCCTGCCATTGGGTATTGGAGGTGGAGGAGGAGGGGGGTGATGCTTGGAGGATCTCATGCGGGGCATTGGGACTACAGGAATACTAGATCCTTGTTGTATGCCTTGATCTGCGACAGAGACTGGCACTATAGGTCTGGCACATTCCTCTTTAGTTTCCTCTTTGTCTTGGCTATAGAAGCACCCTGAGCTGCCTTTGGATCGATGGGGAATGCTGTTCATGTTGCAAGTTTTCTTATAGCTGCCAGCACTACATTGGGAATCAGCAATAGACCGACCATCTCCTTCATCACGTCGACTGAGCTCACTGCATGGAGAACCATTTGATCGAGCTTTATTTTCTCGGTCCCCATTAAGGAGTTCACTGCCCTCAGTATGGTAGAATCTTTGAAGTGCAGCAGAAGAAAGCCAGGGTTTTGTTTTGGTAGACCCTTCAGTAGTTTTGCTGCTACAACTAGAATTTTCTTCAGATATAGTAGAAGTTATCAAGCCCAATTTATCTAGACCATCATCAGTTTCTCTCAACGATTCTTGCAGATTACGAGCAGTCAAAAGTTGAGAGAGGGGTGGAGCTAAGCCTAAGCCAAGGTTTCTCTCATGATAAACATCTGAAATGGTGGGTGTCAATTCCCTGCTGAGATGCCTTAACTGTGAGGCCATTATTTGGTCCTGCATACCAGCACCTGGTCTAGATGGATCTGCAGAAGGAACGCAAGACTTCTTCTGGCCATCTGGTTGTTCTTTAACTTGACTTTGGAAAAATAGTGCAGAGGCTTCACTGGGAATAACTACATCATCATCTGGGGCTAGTGAAAGCATGGGTTTTCTCGATTCAATGTTCTTGCCTAACTCTGTTGAAACACTAAGCCTATCAGGCAAAGAGTTCTGACTTCCCTGAGCAATCGCATTGCTGCTCTGTCGAGATCTCATTCCTCGATATGTAGACTTAGGGGTGGAGTGAGCCTTAGTATGGACATTGGATCCAAATTCTGAGTCCGAACTTGGGGAATCGAAGCCAAGGGCACTGTTGTACATTAGAGGAGTCAGAGGATGGAGCGGGTCGACCATTGGTGGAGGCGGTGGAGGTGGCTGGCGAGTTGTCGGTAAGGGTGGAAGAGGAGGCAGGTTGGCTGCCACATTACCAACTCGTCTTAGAACCGTGCTATGTCCATTTCCTTCCCAGTCTGTGGCAGAACTAGCCGAACTAGAAGAATCCGGTCTTCGGTGGTGATAAGCGACAGCAAGGGGCAAGGTTGAAGTGCCTGCTCCATCACCAATTGGAGACGAGCCTGGTTGGGGGAAACAAGGGGGCAATGAGTAATAATACAACAAATTAGGGTTGAGAGCAGCTGCTTTTGTTTTGTAGCTCTTCTTACCGTCATTATTGTTGCTGTAAAGGGTGCGAATCCTGTTCTGATGAGCAAGAGTGAGTGTTGCGACGCAGGCACTGAGGTCAGCAACAGGTGGACTTGGAGTGAAGGCGGCGTCACTCTCACCACCCCCGCCCGGACGCCCGATCAGCAAGCGGCTGTTGCTGCTTGAGGAGGATGCACCACTGATGAGGGGCTGCACAAAAAGACAATACAAAATTGTTATCACATCCCAAGGTGTGAGAAATCAATGCGGCGTTGACGAGACGAGACGAGTCGTGGACGCACCTTGGTGATCGCAGCCACGGAGGTGACGGAGGACGCAGCGTTCTCGCCGGCGTTGGCGGTGCGGCCGTCGGGCTCCCCTCGCCTCCTCACGTAGCTGGTGAAGGCCGTCACCGTGGACCGGTGGCCCGGCGGCGGCAGAGGCCTGGGCCGGGCAGGGACCGGGGGTGCATGTGGCAGCAGAGCCGGATGGTCCGGCACGCTTCCAGACACGTTGGTGGGGCTGGACCCTTCCAGCAGGTCGTCCTCGCCTCCGGCGTCCAGAGAGTTGAGGCTCTCCAGCGAGCTGGAGGAGTCCACGCTCAAATTCTTGGGTGCTTCTTGAGTGTCTGCAAAAAATACAGAATTTTTTAAAAATTAGAACAATTTAAATAAACTAGAAAAGTGAGTTTTGCTGAAAGTTTTAAAATTTACCAAAGAGGGCCAACAAAGCTTGAAGGACAAATTGGATGTTGCGACGATTGGCTAGTTTACCGGTGCGCAGTGTAACTTCGTCAGCACCAACTTCCATTAGGTCAAAACCTAGCAACAGAGAAATGTTTTATTAAACGGCTGCCCAAACTTTCTGCAGAGAGCATACAAAAATAAGGGATGTAACGTGTAAAATGCCATGGCAGCAGAGAAGCAACTCACCTAAAGAAGCCAGTAGTTCATGGCAACCAGGAACCTGCCAAAGCTTAACTCCGATTGGCACCTCTATGCTCTCTGCCTCAATGTTCTTCATGCTAAATTGTCCTATAACCTGTCGCACAACACTAATGATGTCGTCAGCCACTTCTACATTTGACATTAATTTAGAAAGGGCTGACAAGGAAGTTCCAGTAAGACCTAGAAAAAAAAATCAAATGCATATTTATTAAATCAATTCTTTGTGATAAATTTGAAATGAATGAATGAAATTTCTTTCTAATGAATTAAATTATACCTAAAAGTGCCTGTAAACTAGCACTACACTGTGTGAGACGTTCCTCAGGGTCACTTTGAGGGAAGAAGACGGATGATGGGATTCCATTCGCTGCTGGTTCAAACCGGAACCCAACAGACATAAGGAGATCTTTCCAACCACTGACTGATCCCACTTTGTTTTCAATTGACTTTTGAGTAGTATACATGGCGTTCTTTTGTCCTCTGTGAATACGCTGCAGTGATTTCTCAACCTGAAAGATAATGATAAAATCATGAGATGACTGCTATACATGTCAAGCTGGTGAACAAATGTAGTAGAGTCTCTTTACCAAATGTAATGTCACTCTAAGAGCATCCCGGCATTTATCAGGTGTTTTCAAAAGCTCGCACAAAGCTTGCCCCATCAGAGCAACTTTGTTCGACAGCCTGACATCAGCACCAACCAACACAAATCCAGCCCAATTGGCAGGATGGCCAAAGTGCTTAGTATGCTGGACAGTCTGCATTGCTTCTGCCAATGCCTTGCTAACTCTAGAACCCTAAAAAAAATTCAACATTTAATTTTTTAGGATTTAAGATGAGAAATTTTTTTTTATTTTGATGGAATTTTTGCTGTTACACTTCCTGTAAAGCAGGAAACATACCTGCAGTAAAGCTGAGTAGAAAGCACGAAGCAGTATTTTGGTGGCAGTGTCCGGAACAGGCCACAAGGATACCAGGACACACTGAGCTCCAGCAGCAAGAAGGGCACGTGTTAGACCCAGTACACCATCTGCACTTGCCCAGCCATGCTGGTCCCGAGTGTGGCATGAACTAACAACCACAAGCCTCGCTGTAAGACGAAGGCTCAGCAGGTCTGCAGCGGTCAGTAAAAATTCTGACATAGGGGGCAGCTCCAAAGTGGATGACAACTGGAAAAATTGAAGTTGTAAATTATTCATTGGTCACTCAATGAATTAATTAATTTATTGATTGAATTTGAATGCAGCTTACCTCAGAGCTTTCTTCATCACAGGCCTCTTGGCTGCCCTCTGAGCCAGTTGACTGACCGCTGGGGAAGAACCTTCCACTCCCTGGCTTGGAAGGTTGAGAATCCAAGACTTCACCAGGAGAGAGTACTACTGCTGACAGTTTCCATGATACATGCGTAGCTAAGTGCACACACTCAGCACTACTCATCTTTTGCAATACTGATTCCTTATTGGCCTTTAAAAAAACAAAATTATTTTTACTTATTATTTAAAATCAAAAATATATTTAGATTTTTTAGTATACTTAGAATAAAGCTTCATACCTGTGTCCCAATTAGAGCAGTGGACTGCAGCATTTCAGCAACCATGGCAGCCTCTTGCTCAGCATAAGGAATGTCTCCCCAACCCCACTGTTCAGTAATACAGCTGGGCAGACGAGGATTTCCAACAACAAGGGCAGTCACATTGTTTGAGCTCTGTTGTCCATCATTGTTTTTGTTAGCAGCCAGCATGGCTGCCCTAGCAGACCTTTGGTTGGCCCTAAGAGCTGTGAGGGAAGGCACTACCAGAAGACTGAAGCGCTCACACATGTATTCTGTGGAGACTCCATTTCCGTCGCTGTTACTTCCAGAATCACTGACAGTGGTCATACCACCATTTGGTTTCAAAACAGGGAAGGGCACAAGATTCAGATCGCCCTCAAGGACTAGAAGAATTTCACGTCGACCATAATTACTTCCCTTGGCTGCACACAAAAGAAATAATGAGTTTAAATACAATTGATAGGAACAATGTGGCAACACTCATGCAGGAGAAGAAATAGTCTTACTCGAGCTTGATGAAGATTTGGCTGCAGTGGAAGGCAAGCAGTCTTCGAAGGGAGCAATGAGGAGCTGGTACAAAGCAGCAAGGCAAGAAGGTCCCTGCCACTGTGCCACCGCGGGCCGGCGCGAGCGAGTGCTGCGGGTGCTGCCGGGGCGAGAGGCTGGCCCACTGGCAACACTGCCACCAACACTACCAAGGCTAGAGAGAGACAGAAAATAAATTTTTGCTTGTTAGATTTTTAAGAGAAATTAAAACAATATTTTTGTATTTAAAAAAAATATGTGATGCACACCTGAATAAACTACTGAGGCTGTAGTTACTGGAGTTGAAAATATGATTTCTGTTGACCATGCGCATGAAGCTTGCACGATCTCCAACATCTTCCAGATGCTGAGACCAAACATCAGCGGAGTCGGGATCATCCAGATCACAGTTACTGCAACAGAAAATCATTGTCAAGACCACAGTTTGGAGATTATTTGAAAAAAAATTGCATGAAAAGTAGCTGTATTTGTCTTACCTTGACACATTCGACGCTTGAAGCTCTACTCCCAAGCTTTCACGAACACTTTGGACGTAATGTTCTACTAAAGATCCAGAGGCATTGAGTGTTTCTTCTGGGCTGCTATCAGGACCCACCTCCACTTCACTTATTGCTACTTGGTGGAACTTAACTATACCTTTTCCAGGGACAATAAACCAAGCATACAAGAACCCTGCAGCCAGGGAATAATAAAGCACAGATGCCTTTTGCCTGTTGACTATGTCGACCAGTTGTTCTACCGATGTGGGTGTACTATCATCAACTCTCGCTGATGCAATGGCAGCAGCCGTAAGTGCTTCTGTTGCTGAGTGAGTGCCTTTTCCTGACGGCTGAACTATTGATATTACGGAATTGTGGTTTGACTTTGGCGCAGCTTGAGAAGCAAAGCCCTGTCTTTCCAGCAGAAGGTCGACAAACGCTCTTGTCCGCCCTCTTTCCGCAACCAGAAGAGCTTCTTCAGGACGGCCCATGGTCACTAACACCCTCTGCAAGGCCTGGTAAGATGCTGTCTGAAGTTCAAATAGTGACAGCTTGTAGTCACTGGACCCACGAGCTTCTCTCCTTATGGCTTCAAGGAGATGAGCCGCCTGCTCCAGCTGCGTTTGAGCACCTTCCAAATCGCCATGTCCCCACAGGGCAAGTCCAAGGCGGTGCCTGATTCTTGCCTCTTCTTCTCTTCTGCCAAGATGTGCTGCCATTTGCAGCCCCTGCTGCAGGTATGCCACAGCCTGTGAGTGTTGCCCAGGGCATGGTGGATACGCCCCAGACAGCTGCATGCCACAGTTTTGGCCAATTTGTCATTAGTCTGGGCGGCCACCGATAAATGCTGCTCTTGGTACCTTATGGCTTCTTGAAGGTTTCCTAAAGATTCGTGCACTGTTCCAATATTCCCATAAGCTCTTCCTTGCAGAGCAGCCAGTCCCAGTTCTTCGGCTATGTCCAAGTCCATCTGATGATAACGGAGAGCGGTGACATAGTCACCCATTTGCTGATAGACTTTCCCAAGTCCAGAGGAAGCTTCCGCTTCAAGAACTTTATCTTTTAAATCTCTAGCAATAGCAAGTTGATGTTCTAGACAAGAAATAGCTTGTTCATAATTTCCTAGAGTATTGTGGATATGGCCTAACTCTCCGTAAGCAGCAGCCTTTGCCTCTGCACTGCTGAGTTCATGAGCAACAACTAGCCGTTTCTCCAGGCAAACCAATGCTTGTTGAAGGTTTCCTAGGCTTTTATGAGAATGACCTAGTCCTCTGTATGCTCTTTCTTGATCCCTGGCACTCTTCAGCTTGAGAGCTATGGAAAGATGTTGCTCGTGGCATTTCACAGCTTCTTCAAAATCACCTAAAGCATCATAGCAATCACCCAGGTTTCCAAAAGCACGACCCTTGTCTAGTAATGATGTTGGAGCAGAAAGTTGCTGCAAAGTAGCTAGCTGTTGTTCCAAGTACCCAATGGCATCTTCATAATGGCCCATATTTAATCGTGCTATTCCCAAATTGCCCAAAGCTTGAGCCTCTACAGCACTGTCTCTTAGCTCTTTGGCACGTTCTAACTGTTCTTGGTAACACTTGATTGCATTGGTATAGTTTCCTAAAGACATATGCACAGCTCCCAGGTGCCCATGTGCTCGGCACTCACCCTTCAAGTCACTCATTTCTTGACGAAGAGTCAGCTCCTGGGTGTGGTACCCCAGAGCCTTATCGAAACATCTCAAGAGGCGGTGTCCCAGACCTAATGCACCATAGGCTGCAGCTTCTAATCCCCGATCATTTCCTTGTCTCGCAATAGAAAGTTGCCTCTGGTACATTTTCAGTGCCTCTCCAACATCCCCTGTGCGGATTAAAACATCGCCAATATTGCCAAGAGCACGGAATTTCCCTGGCAAGTGCTTCGTCATGTGAGCTATAGCTAAAAAGTATTTTTGGCACTCCAAAGCAGTATCTAGGTTTCCAAGGGCTAGGTGAGCTAAGCCAAGATTGCAATAAGCTCGGCCCATATTCATTTTATCTTGTAAATCTTTGGCAAGGGCTAAATCTTGGTCATAGTATCGTACTGCTTCACGAAAATTTCCAAGACAATAGTGGGCATAACCCAAGAAATGACAAGCTTTAGCTTCTCCTTCAATGTCATGGAGTTCCTGAAATATATAAGTGAGAAAATTAATACATGAATATGTGTACAGCAGATTGAAACCATTTCCGTCGTCTTAAAATATTACCTGGGATAACATGAGGTAGTTGTCATAGTACGGAACAGCTTGGGCAAATTCAGCCCTTGAGCTTAAACAGTTACCTAAATTAAGCAAGGCACAAGCCTCACCAGCAGAATCTTTCAATTCACGAGCTATGTTTAAATGAGCTCGGTAATGAAGCAGGGCCATTTCATGAGCACCTAATGCCTGATACGCCACTGCTAAGTTCCCATGAGTAGATGCTTCTGAACTTCTGTCATTAACTTCTTTGGAAATTGTCAACTCTTGTTTATGATATTTTATTGCCTGTAGCCAAATCAGAAAACAATTAGAACCTAAAAATAAATATATAATGAAAATATATTAGCCTTATTCTAGACCAACATACCTGCTCATAAAATCCCAGATCACTGTATGCATTGCCAATGTTTCCATAGGCACGACCCATACCAGCTTTATCTTGAAGTATTCTTGCTATACTTAGATGCGCTTGGTGCAATTTGAGAGCCGCATCATTATCACCCAATAATTGATAGACTATGCCCAAATTGGAGCATGCTCTACCTTCACCCATTTTGTCTCTAGTTGATAAAGCCATATCTAGCTGCCTTTCATGCCAACGTTTAGCCTTAGAAAGGGAAAACAAAGAATTATTAGCAGAATAACAAAAAGAAAGCCAAATTAAAAGTCATGAAATTTCAATTTATACACACCTGTTGATAATCACCAGCACAACGAGCAGCATGACCTAAGCCTGCATATGCTCTGGCCTCTATGGCACGATCACCCAATTCCTGAGCTATTCTTAGCACATTCTCATGAAAGGCGATTGCTTGAGAAAAGTTTCGTCGATAGTGATGAGATGATCCTAAATTGCTATATGCACGGGCCTCTTCAACCTGAAAAAAATAATAATGTTAGCTCATCTAAATTTTTGAACTAAATTTTTAACAAATTTATCCTTGGCTTACCTGGTTACCCAATCTTCTAGCAAGTCTGAGGTGTTGTGTATGGCAATCAACTGCACTTTCAAATTCTCCCATTGCTAAATAAACTGCTCCCACATTACCAATTTCTCTAGCCTCTTGCAATTTATCACCCATTTGTTTTACAAGTTGTACACATTGCTTGTGGGATGCAAGAGCATTTGGATAGTCTCCAATAGCAGTATAAACGTGTCCTGTAAAAAATTTTAAAGCAAACAATAAATTTAAGAGAAAAAGAATAAGCACTCACACACAGGAATAAGTTCCAGAAAACTTACCTAGACTAGTAAGAGCTGAGGCTGCAGCTTGAGAATCCTTGCACTTCATTGCAAGGACAAGTTGATACCGGTGCGATGTTAAAGCTTCTTTAAATGAACCTTGACTAAAATATGCTGAACCTAAATTACCATGAGCTCGGCACTCCCCAGCTATGTCCCCAAGACTCTTAGCTACCGTCAAATCTTGTTGCATGTAGTTAATTGCCTGAGGAAGAAATAAATATTAAGAATACGGAACAAATTTTCCACCGACTGAAAATGAATGAGAATACACTTACCTTGTCTAATGAATTGAGCGCCCAATAGGCAGAGGACAGGGCTGAAAATACAGAGCCTCTAAGCTTCAAGCTACATGAGCCAATCCGTAATGCGGCCTCCAGAACAACAACGGCAGCAGAATAGTGGCCTGCGCCTAGCAGTTCTTGACCGACAACAGAAATGATGACAAAGGGACTTTTGTCGAGGCTCATAGCCTCCAGCTGATTGAACGTTGGCTCAAGTTTCGCTGCATCAAACAATTACCCAGATTAAAAAAATCATAATTCTCAGGACACCAGCACATGCCAAGGGGGCAAGAGACTGACCTCGGAGCGGGCTCTTGACCGAGCATTCCATGAGTCCGGCCAGCAGCTGCGAGGACCTGGGGTCCTGCGCTAGGCCCGAGCTGAAGGCGGCCAGGGCGTCGCCGTGCCTGCCGAGGCACTGCAGGGCGACGCCCTGCCGGTAGTAGGCCTTGGGCCACTTGGGGTTGAGCTCCGTGGCGCGCGCCGCGTCCTGCAGCGCCAGGGCGAACTGGCCCATCTTGAGGCGCGCCGCCGAGCGGTTGGAGTAGAGCACATGGTTGTTGGGGTCGAGCTGGAGGCCCTCAGAGTACAGCGCCACGGCCTTGGGGAAGTCCCTGGCCTGGCACGCGGCGTTGCTCTGTCGCACCAGCTCCAGGAAGAGGGTGCGGCTGGCCGCGGGCAGCTCCCCCTCTGGTTCCACCTGCAGCAGAAAGAAAGCGCCAACTTAGACCGCCTGCGTCGCAGAACCCCGTTCTAGAGGACTTGCATTTGGGCGGGTAGGGGGACGGGGGAGGGGGCAGTCAGAGGAGATGGACGGAGATGGACATCGCAGCTCGTCCGAAAGGGCACGTCATAAAATGAGGAATTCGCACTAACTCGATACAAGGAAAAGCTTTTTGGCGGCTCGCCTCTCGCGGGGCGGGGTGGGGCGGGGTGGGGTGGCGGGCCGCGAGATTGGCAGCATCGAGTCGTCACGAGACCGCCAGACCCGTTGGGCCCCTCCAGAGTGCAGGTGCATAACGCAACGCGTCGCAACGCAGAAACGCAGCGCCCCGCCATCGAGGCCGCAGCGCCGCAGCAGCACCTGAGTACATATCCGCCTGGCTTTCCTAATTTTACAGTGGTCGGTCGGTTCGTTTCGCTGTTGTTTTTCTTGCTCTGCCTCGGCTCGGCTGCTCGGCCACGCCCGCAGGAAGCGAAGGGCTGGCCGCCGCGTCCAGGGCAGGGGCCAAGGGCCAGGGGCCAGCTAAGGGCCGCGCTACGACCTCTCCGTCGGCAACCTGCACTGCCGGACTGCCCGGCGCAAGGGGCAAGAAAACAGCTGAAAATTGCAGCATTCGTAACGCATGGCGGAAGCCGGCAGGGAGAGCCCTCGGGGGGAAGGGGGAGGGGAAGGGGGTCGAAATTACATATTTCCTGCCACCTCTGCGGCGACCGGACTGGCGGCGACGCGGCCCAGCTTTGACGACTTCCGTCGGAACGCCCCTAACACAAGTCCCGACGCAGGCGGCCGCCCCGCCACGCCGACACCGCGGCGCCGGGGACGCCCGAGACGCCGCCACTGTGGGGACGTTCGGGGCGATCAAGGTATGCGCGGAGCAGGAGCACGCCGTCGTCGTCCACCAGGACCACCAGGACCCCGAGGGCGTCCGGGACTGGAGGCACGTAGAACGCCACGATCAAAAAAATATATACTTAAATCTCGTCTGTTCCAAGCACAAGCAGTGGCTGTCGTCGCTCCATCTCTCTCGCACTCGTGGGAAGTTCCGCAGGGGTGCGAGAGAGACAGCCTGCTGGCCGGCCCAAAGACAAACAGGTCCTCCAGGCAGGTCCTTCCGCCAAATTGGCAGTAGCGGTGCCTGGCCGGGCTAGGCTGGCTAGGCTGGCTAGGCCCAGGGACCCAACCAGGAAACGCCTCACAGGGCGGCCGCGGCCAGGGTCTGGTCCGCCAGGGCCTGGTTCGCCTCGGCGCCTCGGCGCAGCGCGGCTCTACTTTGCCCATAAAATAACCCTAATCATCGTGGTCCTGCTATGGGTCCTGCCGAATCGGCCGGCCGGCCAGGTAAAGCGCCACCCTGGCTTTATCTCTCCATCTTTCTTTTTTTATTTTACTTTTTTTTTACTTGCGAAAGGAAACAAAACGACGCCCCCAATCCTACGAGGTAAGGCGGACACCGAGCGCCCACCGGGCCGGCCCCGAAAAATACAAAATAATTGGTAAGACGGTCATTTAAAAAAATAAAGGACATAACGAGAAAAAGAAAAACACCGTTTTGACCGTCGCGACGCTGTTCGTGTTGCAGGTACACCCGCCTCCGCCGCGCGACGCAAACCACAGCGGAAAAGTAAGGAGTTCTTTTGGTTTAAAAATAAAAAGGGGAAAGAGAAGAGAGAGGGGGGAATGGAGGGGGGGGGCTAGGGTAACGCGCGCGCAGCCTCCGCCCGCGCTCTCGTTGCTCGGGCCGTCCTTACCGGCCGTACCTCCGTGGGTACACTGTACACCTCGAGTGTAATTGTGTGTTACCCTCTGTCATTAGCGTCTCTCATTACTGGCCGCTGGACGGCCGTTCGCGGAAAAGGAAAAAAAGAGTCCAGTAATGCCACCCCCGCGACCTTCATTAGGGGGCAGTGCCAACTTGGCAAAAAAAAAATCTTAAAAAAATAAATATGGCGAACGGTGAGCGTTACACCGGCCACGCCGCGGTTTTTCAGCTGCTCTTTTACGGACGGTCCCTGAGCGAGTGTCCCAGAGCCCGGAGGGCGTGGGTGGTCGGCCGGGCCGGGCGTCGTCGGCGCGCTCGCCCTCAAGCACTCCGTGTTTTTCGCACCGAGGTGCGTGCGACTCGCGTGCACCTGCGGCGCGGCGGCACCCTCGGTCCCTTGGACTCTCGTCCGGTCGCGCGTCGAGGTCTCCGCCAGCCCGCCTCCGCCAAGCAAGCCGCCTCGCACAGCACAGCGCGTTCAGGTCCCGGCGCTCGAAACATTCCCTCTGAGGACGCCGCCGTGGAGTCCGAAAGCCCCACGACTCCTCGCCGCCGACCCTACACTGTTTTGTTTCAACGGGGTCGGCAGCCCAACGCGCGGAGAAAGAAGTGCCGTGGTTTTGGTGCTTTGGAATCAGGTGACGAGGCAACTTCGGTCCATCCCCTTATTTCGTCGGGAGTAAGAAAACGCAGGAGAGAAAGAGAGAGACAGAGAGCGGCGAGGAAGGAGACGAGGGTGATTTTCACGCCATTGTCTCCCGGTCTCGCTGGTCACATTAGCGGCAGGCCGGGCTGCCAGCCCTGCCAGCCCCGCCAGCTTCCCACAAGCAATCATAATCACGCCGCATGACTTTCCATACGAGGGCGTCGCTCTGCTTCCTCCTTTTGTACACACCGCCGGACTGTCACCGCGGGGGCGTCGAACCTTTCGCCAAGTTGGAGTTCGGCGGGTCGTTTACATCGTGCAGCGGCTGCATTGTTAGTCGATTTATCGACGAAAGTGAAGAATTTTGTCTAATCTAGAGACTACAGTGTGCCGCGGTACTCACGCCTGACGCTAGCACGTTCACGACCGCGCTCATGCACGTGCTGTTCTAGGGGGAGGCAGCGTCCGGGACTATGCACACTGTTGCTAGATTCTAGAGCACGTAGCCGCGTGGCCCGGCGTGGCGCGGCGTGGTCCCGCTCGCACTCGCCGCCATCAACGCGGAATGCAGCCTTCCCTCGCCCCAGTGTGCCGCCAGCGCCGCCGGGACGCGGCCAATGCGCGCTCTTGTCGAGATCAGAAAAATATGACGATGTGAATTCTCTCTTTCTCTCTCCCCCAATCAAAACTCACGAGTAATATTACTTCGGGGAGGAATGCTGGCGCAGGCAGGCCGGCAGGCCGGCAGGCAGGCAGGCCGAGCCTCGGCATACATCTCGATCCATCGGCTGACCACGACCGCCTGTAATTGCGGATGGGCCTCCACCACGCCCCGCCCCGCCCCGCCGCGCCCCGCCACGCCCCGCTCTGCACACTTATCACTCACACCACATAAATCTAGCCCTCGGCCCCGGCAGCAGCAGCGGCAGCACGGCGGCCGCGGCGCGCAACCTTCTGCCCGACCGGCCGGCTCAAATCTAAATTAAAAATCAGCTTATTTGGGAGAGAAGCTCGAGTTTATTGCTCGGAGAGTATTACCGCAGCCCGGCCGGTGCCCAGCGAAGGCGCAGCCCGGCGCAGCCAATACACGGGGCCACGGACCGGACCGCCGGACCGCCGGACCTGGACCGGGCCAACCTGGCCACGGTCATCAACTTGAGGCACTTGGGCGGCCCGGGCCCGACGCGCGGCCCTCTCTGGGGCGGGCTTTGACGCAAGCCAGCGGACCGATTCCGAACGGGCTTTCGTCGCTCTGTCTCTCTCGCACTCGGGGGGCGTGCCGCGGTGCCGCGGCAGTGCGAGAGAGACAGAGCGTCGACGCGGAAGGCGGAATCGACATGGCGGCCTGGACCAACAAGCTGCGGGCTGCACCGCGGCACCGCGGCCTAGCGAAGACTCGGCTTGCCTCTCAAGCTGGAGCGCGCCCCCAGTGTAGGCCCTCTCAGCGTGGGTAGGCAACGTGCCCTGCATTCATTGCAGGCGATGCAGTAACAAGGAGAGCCCCTCCAAAACACACCTCTCTGCCCGTCCGTCTGTCAGTCCATCCCCGTCCGTCGAACGCGCATAATGAGTGCGAGAGAGACAGAGGGCCGCACCTGTTGCACGGGCCGAACGACGCCCCGAGGAGCCCCTCCAGCAATTATCGCTCGCAGTGCAAGGCAACAATACTCGTCGCTCTGTCTCTCTCGCACCCTCAGGGGACGGCCCGTGAGTGCGAGAGAGACAGAGCGACGAATGGCTGAGGCGGGAGGCGCGATACGGAAAGGGCGGCGTCCGCTCCGCTGGCGTGTTCCTGCTGCTCCAAATGAAAGGGCTGACGCTGATCCAACGGGCGGGGCGGGGCGGGGCGGGGCAAGGTCGACGTCGACCCCAACAAAAGGATGAAAAAGAGCAGAGCCAGAGGGCAGGAATGCAAGGTACCCGGAGCTACCCGGGGGAGAGTACCCGGCTACTGTTTGGTATGAGAGCCCCCCTCCCCCCCCCACCTTTCCCCCACCCCACCCCTCCACCTCACGCCTCGCGCTCCTTTTCCACAGCATTCCATTCCATGGCGCTGCATCCGCTGGAACCGCTGGCCGGCGGGATGAGATGCATCCGCTAGAAGCCGCGCCGCAGCATGCAGCCAGATGCAGCCACTGGGAGTCTCAGCCACTGGGAGCCACTGGTGGTCTCGGAGTGCTTCTCCGTGGTTTCAGCGAGCACCCAGGACTGCTTTGCGTTTCGCGCGTCCTCGGACACCGTTCCTCGAACCGCAGCCACGACGCTCTGCGCCACATGCGCCGTTCCTTGCGTAACCAACCCTTCTATATCGGCCTATGTCTGCCTGTCTGTCTGTCTGTCTGTCTGTCCGTCCGTCCGTCCGCCTGTCGCTCCGCCACACTCCGCGACGGGCAGGACAGGCAGGACGGGCGCGCAGCTGCCATGAAGAATGACTGCCCATGGCTGCCATGGCTGCTCGGCCTGCTATTCACACACCGCAGTCGTATACTTTCACTCTATTTGAGGCGCGGGGCTGCGGAGCCTGCCGCGAGCCTGCGAGCCGACAACACGGCTTCATCTAGCGAGACTCTGCAACGCAAGGCGATGCTAGAGGTGCGAGAGACGCCAGTGACTCCAGTCAAGACCCCTGACGCCGTTAGGACTATGAAACAAAGGCTGCAGCAGTGGACGACGTTACACGTGCAACAACGACCTCCCCGTCCTGAATCCACCGTCTGGTCTTTTTCCAATTTGCCATACAAATTCACGGCGCGCCGCACCACTGCAAGGTGGTCCGTACGTGACCACCTTGTGTGTGTGTGTGTGAGCGGGACGGCTTGTGCATGTGCGTGTGTGTGTGTGGGCGTGAACACACCACCACCACCACCCGCACGCACACGCATCCGTCATATCTTTCCCGGTGTAATACGCACACTCCGCCCAACAACAACAACAACAGCTGGCCGCGACGCCGCGACGCCCCCGCGCGCGGAGCCACCTCGACATTACCATGCCCGCCACGCATGCCAGCAACAACAACAACGTTAAGAATAAAGACAACAACAACAAATTCCTTAAAAGCAATATGAAAAAGGCGCGGAATGGCCTGGCCGCGCGGCTGGCTGGCTGGCTGGCTGGCTGGCGGTGCCAACGGCCTCATCATGGACAGCATGACCGTTCCGAGACGTTCCGGGACGTTCCGAGCAATCCTCCAATCAGGCCTTCATCGCCTCCATCGCGTCGACCGATTCCGAGAGTCTGTCTCTCTCGCCCATGCACGGGACGCCCCGTGAGTGCGAGAGGGACGGAGCGACGAAAACGACTCTCGGAATCAGTCTTGCTGGTGGTTTGGCGCGGCCGTGCGGCGGGTCGGGTGGGTCGCGGCGCGCGGGACGGGACGTGACGGGTCGCGGAAGGGTCGCAGAAAGGATCGCCGAAGGGTCGCGGAGGGTCGCGCACGGCAAATAATCTCCCCCCTCCCCCTTCAAAAAAAATTGAAGACGCGGCCACCCCGCTGCAGTGGCTTCACCAGTACGAGGAGTCGCCACGGAGGTGGGCGGAGTTCCCTGAAGAGGTATTTGGGCGCGAAGCTCGAAATTTGATCGAGGAGCGAGATATCGAGATATCGAGGTCCGCGCCGCTCCGCCGCGCGTCCCAGACGCCCGCCTTTTGGCTCTCATCCTTTTGGGGACACGGACTTGAACCAGCCCATCATTATTCGCGCAAACCCACGCGAGCAGAGGAAAACAAAAACACGAAGGGGAAGCGGGAAGGACGAGTTAGCATGGTTTCGGAGGGGCGATACCACCGGATTCCTGCAAGCGGGCTCGCCGGGCCCGCCAACCTCACCCACTGGGCACGCCGCGCACCGCGCACCGGGCCTACAGTGTACATTGTACAGGGTGACGACGGCCAGGGCCCCAGGGGCACTGCCTGGACGTCGTAGGGAAATGAGGACCCAAGGGGACACAAAAGAGTTCCTCGAATTCCCGAATAACACTTTTGCCGGAACACGAACGGGTCTGCCGGCCGCGCGCTGCGCTCGGCCCTTGCTTGTTTTTGTTTTATTTTGCCATTTTATTGTGTACCCCGTATTTCACCGCGTCGCAGCGTCGCAGCGGCCGGGCTAACGTATTCGTGAGCCTCGCAGAGGTGCGCGGAATTCGGAACATTCGGGGGCTTCGTTTGCGCGCGCCTCAGAGTCGTTTTCGTCGCTCTGTCTCCCTCGCGCCCGTGGGGCCTTCCCTACGGATGGGAGAGAGACAGAGCGACGAAAACGACTCTGAGTCTGCAGTGCCTCTCTCCAACCAGCCCAGCACCACGCCCACCCGCGACCCCCGTGACCCTCCCCTCCTCCTCCCTCTCCCTCCTGCAGGGCCGAAAGGCCGAAATGGGACGCCGCATTGTATTTGTGGTCTCTCTCTTTCTCTCCGTAAAGTACAAGCACCTGCCGGGCAACGGCCAAAGTTCCCACCGAGAGGATGCATACCGAAATGAAACGTCCGTGGCTTCGAGCCCTTCGGACCCCACCCCCGCCCAGAAAAATACATAATAGTCACACCACAGTGCGGGGTGAACGCAGACCGAACGTGTGTGCGTGCGTGTGCTGGGGAAGGGGAGAGGAACAGACAAGAGAGAGAAGGGGGAGAGGAGAGAGAGAGAGCGGAGAGCTCATTAGGGAAACAGGGTCTAGAGGCCTTACCTGGCCGTGCAGGATGCTGGAAGGAAGCCTGGAAGGCTGTGGATGACGTTTGACCTGGCAATAAAGTACGCTAGAACCCGTTACAGGGCACGCACACGCACACACACGGCGTGAGGGGGAAGGGGTAAAATCACAAGCATTCCGACATGATAGCATGAGAGGAACCAGCGTGGCCCCACTGTAAAGGTGCCGGCCGCGGAGTGGGGGTACTGGGGGAATGTTGTGATTGAACAGGGACTTGAGAGGGGGGGGGGCTCACCAGGGGCTCAACCCCTTCGCCACCAGCACCACCATAAAACCGCGCGCATGCCTGTGGGTGCCGTTGTGGGTACCCTTGCGGCTGCCCGGTGCGGTCAGGCTTTCCTGTACAAAAGCGCTCTCCAGCGCTCCAACGGAGTTCCCGGAGGACCCGGAGGACCCGGAGGACCCGGAGGAGGGGCGCGGGGGCGTGGCGCGGCGTCGCGGAATGCCATACGGCAAGGAGGGAGGGAGGGAGGGAGGGGGGAGGGAATTCCTGGCGCGAGTGCGCGGGAACCGCCGCGAACCGAACGCGGTCGGCCGACAAGCAAAGAGCATTTGGGGCGTCGGGTCGGCGATCGGGGCTTTGGGACGGGGCCCCGTTCCGTGCCCATTCAATGACAAGGTCCCCTCCGTACCGCCGGGGCCGGGCAGGGCCGCGCAGGGCTCTGCCCCCCTCGGACTTACGACTTACCTCTGACAAATCGCGCTGTGACATGTCGTGGGCTGGAGGCGCATGTTGCGGCGGTCGTCTCACTCAGCTCATCCCCACACATCACATCCTGCAACACAAACGGGGCGCAGGGCGTCAGGCAGACTGCTTGGACCTACAGCGTAACAGTTGAACAAAACGCGACCCAGAGTAAACGACAGCTCTTTCACGACACACTGGTGTCGCCTAGCGAAATGACGTCCATCGTAGTCCTTGGTCCGAGCTGGAGAGACTCGTATCCCCTCTGTCTCTAGCTCGAGTTCGTCGCCCAGGCCATGCCCAGGCTCTCAAGGCTCTCTGTGCTCTCAGGCTCCACGCGGTGAAACGCGCGGGGAATGCTAGAGCGCGAACGCGAAAGCGAGCCAAGCCGAGGAGGACAATGCCCGACGAGTCGCCTGGGCTGCCTACCCGCCAGGCGCTAGACACGCCTCACTAGCCTCGCGCTTCGCACTCGCCTTCCTCGACCAGGCCAGACTATCAGCAGCAGCTAATGACCGATGCCGCGAGTCGTTTTCGTCACCCTGTCTCCCTCGCACACACGTGTGGCTCGGGTGCGAGAGAGACAGGGCGACGAGGCCTGGCAGGGTGGTCCCGCCATCGGCCCACTTCGAATGCGTTTGGCAAAGACGGCTTGGCGACTGGCAGGGTGTTATTCCTTATTCCTCGCGGACCGCCTGCTCTGAGAGTCGTTTTCGTCGCTCTGTCCCTCTCGCACTCATGGGGCGTCCCGAGTAGGTGCGAGAGAGACAGCGAATCAGTCTGCTGCCTGCTCTGCTTGCTCCGTCGGCCGGAAAAGGCGATTACACCGGACGCAGCCGACCTGGCCGACCACGACGACGACGACAGGACGGGGCCTCTGCACGTGCGTCGGAGAAATTTTCTGTTCTTGTTTTCGGCACCGTTCTCAGTTCGAGTTGCGTTTACAGTGGACAGACATTGCTTTGGGGAATGCAAATTTTCTTTTGAAAATGGATTTGGTCCTTCCGAAAGGGCGCTAATGCTTGCGCTGACGTTCATCGCGGAGACATGACAGCTCGACTGGTCTTTCTTGCGCTGCTCTGCTCCAGAGGTATTCCAGTGGTTCTCCAGCCAAGTCCAGCTGTTTTCTGGAGAAGTCCAGGCGATCTCCAGCAGGCGGACTGGGGCCCAGCCCAGCCCAGCGAGCCTGCCATGCCGTGCCGCCCAGTCCGCCCAGCTCGGGCCCGGCCTGTTGCTGGACGAGGCGAGGCAGTGCGAGGCAGGCTGACGAGCCGAGCACGCGCACGCCAGAGCCGAGCCGCGCCACGCGAAGGAGCCGAAGGCTGAGCCGAGCCGATGGCGGCCAAGCGCGCGGAGCTCCATTCCAGTCGTCTACTCCAGCGACTCCAGCCAGCCGCCCAGCCCAGTCCAGCTCTACTCCAGCACTTCCACTTCTCCCTGATGACGGTCATCACCTTGGTTAATCCAGGGGCCGGCGCCACAGCCTGCGACCATGATGGTGATGATGCACTACACGCGCGCACACTCACTCGAACACACACACGCGCGCACACGCGCCACTTGGTCCTTCGTCCTCGCACTTTGGCTTGTTGCACTCGCAGGGCGAACTCCCCTGCCTGCTGCTGCTGCTGGTCTTGCAGGGGCCGTTCCAGCGAGCCAGACAGCCTGCGACGCGACGCGACGCGAAGCCTCACGGTCGGACGGCAGCACGACCGCCGTGGAAAGCACCTGGTAGGGCCCCGGAGCGACTAAGACTAACTGAAGAGAAGAGAGAGAGAAGCAAAAGCAAGCCGAGGCCGAGGAGACCCGACTCAACGCCGCCAGGATCACGTCTGCGGCCCCCTCCACGCCCCCACCTGCGGCACTGCCCCCTCCACGGCCCCCTCGCCCTGCCCCTCGCCCTGGCCGGCCGGTCCGCGCCGGCTGGGCTGGAGCGAGAGCCGAGCCGAGCCCTGCCGAGCGGTCTCCGGGGGCGCGGCGTGGCGCGGCCGGCTCGGCTCCGGGCGTGCTCCGGCTGCACACCATCGCGGCTCCGGCTCGACTCGGCACCGGTCCGCGGGTCCGTTCGGCATCGGGAGCATCGGGCAGCGGAGCACGGCGGAGCGGCAGACGGCGGACTCGGAGACTCGGGTCACATTCCACAGACGCCATCTTGGAATGTGGTTTCCTCTCACTGTGGCTACGACCCCAGCCCTGTAGCCCAGCCTGCCGTCAGGCCGGGCCGGGCCGGGCCCGCCAGACCCCAGTCGGCACACACACACAGGCGCACCTGCACACTCACACGCGCCACGAAAACACGGCAGCGCGGTCCCCGCGGTCGGGCCGCGGTCCACGCCACAGGCCGCCCCACTGCCATGGCCCCCGCGCCCCCGCGCCCCATGGCACCACGCCCCTTTCGCACGCCCCGCCGCCATGGCTGTGCGCACGCCGCACGCCTTGGCAGTGTCGCAGGCTGGTCGCTGGCCGGCGGCGCGGCACTGCGGTGGCCCTGCGGTGGCGCTCTGCTGCAGGCCCGTTCCGAACAGCGCTCACGTCGCTCTGTCCCTCTCGCACTCACGGGGCGCCACGTCGGGGTGCGAGAGGGACAGAGCGACAGCGACTGCTCGGAATGAGTCTGCAGCCGCGCGGCATTCCGCGGAGTTCCAGATTCGGACTCGGTCGACTCCATCAACGCCGCCAGCATGCCTGCCAGCGGTTTTTGCTGAGGGCGCCAGCGCCGCCGCGGCCCCGCCCGCGCCACGCCCCGCAGGGGGCACCGGCCGCCCCGCCCCGCCGCACCGCGGCGAGCCGCACTCATCAGCGGGATGAAATTTCTGCATTCCAGGCATAGGTTGGCGTCATTCTAGTTCAGGTAGTTCAGGACGGGGCAGGCCTATGCCTGGCCATCATTAGCTCCGTCGCTCTATCTCTCTCACACCCCTACAAGACGCCCCGTGTTTTCAAAAATGTTTTTATTTGCGCAGAGGTATCTTTTGCATTTCACATTTGTCACCCCATGGGGACAGCGACGAAAACAGTGCGAAAACCTTTCGCACAGCCCCGCCTCCTTCTCACACCTTGGACATCCTTGTCCTTCTGGTGTGGGGCCCTTCTGAGAAGGGTAATTCATACCGGACCCGACATTCGGAGTCACCCCGTGCCGAAGGGGTTGCCTGCCTGCGAGGCGCGCCAAGTTCAAGCTGCCTGCGTGTTCGGTGGTCTACCCGGCGCTCGGCAGGCGGCCGCGCGTGGCTTTTGCCCCGGCCCAACCACCTGCCGCTCGCTCTGTCTCACTCACACTCACGGGGCGCCTCGTGTAGGTGCGACAGAGACAGAGCGAGAAGAATCCGTCCGCTGGTCCCGGACACTTTATGGGCGACACATTAGAAAGCGATCCGAATCCACGGGGAGTCCTGGGAGCCCCGGGCCACACCCAAATGTGGCGCTTTAGTTTCCAGACAAGGCACGGCGTGGCGATAGCAAGGCCGTTCACACCATTTACCACTTTCGGCCGCCTAATCAAGCACTTGGAGAAGGCGTCTTTTTAAAACTAATGTCTCCACGGGGCTCGTTTCGTTTCGATTCGAGCGAGCCGACGCCCGCGAGCTGCGACTTTCTGGAAAGTGACGAAATTGTTTGTTCGGAGACAGCCCGCGGCCGGCCGCCTGGAAAGCACGCAACTCTTCACACGTTGACGTCGCGAGGCGGCCCACTCCGCAGGCGCTTTTGCGGTGGCGTGGAGTATCGACGCACCGCGCACCGCGAGGCGAGGAGTATCGCCGGAGGGGCGGAGGGAATCGCGGTGCAGTCGAGGGGTATCTCCAGAAAGGTGCAGCGAGGAAGCCGGTCCTGCTCCCTGTTGGGCCAAACTTGTTTGGGTTCAAACGAAAGTTGTCTCCAAATGGGTCCAAAGGGAAGTCATTAGTAAAACGAAACAGCCGGTATACGGGGACATTCATTTATTCTTATGCCATGGCACATTTACACGTTATATATCAATGTACAAAGTCTCACATATTCTGTATATACATTTAAATAAATAAAATCATAATCAAAAACAATTTATTATTAGTATCACATAACGTGACTTGACTAGATTAGGGATGTTATTACCCACAATAACAATGCATAGTTCAGAGATAACTTCTTGGTGGTATTCTGAAAGTAACATAATGGTAGTACTTGAGACAAAAATTAAACACACCTTGACCAGGGTTTTGGTCACAACAGTCCATGTAGAAAGGTAGATTTAAAAACAAACAAAAACAATCATAGAAATTTACATAAAGATCGGTCGATGCCCGCTCTTTCAAAAAAAAAAATTAAAAAAATTTTCAAAGTCTAAGCTTATAAATTCTTTGGAAATATATAAAAGCTACAAGTCAATACCATTTCATGAAGGTTGGACATTTTTGATTACACTTTCTGATTCAGATTGACATTACTTGGTCACTGGTGCCAGCAGGAAGTGCTCCAAGCAATCTAACTAGGATTTGAACGTGAAGTCTTCTAGGCTTATTTACAAAGGCATTGGATCATAATGAATTTTTTTTTGTTTCAAATTCTACAGCTCTACTGTTCTAGAGATTAGCACACATGAAATGCCATAGATACATGACCTAGATTCCTGATTTGGTAGTTTAAGAAGAATGGAAACTACCAGAAAGTCAACTTTTGATTCAAACAGTCTTTATGGAAAGACATTATTGTAAAATACGATAAAAGTACATGTCATCGTTGAAGTTAAGACATCAACCCTAGGAATATTTTTGAAAAATCTTTGAGCATTTTAGCAGTACGCATCGCTTCAATAAAAAGCTTTTAGTCTGAGCGGCTCTCAATGTGTTTTCTACTCCCCCCCCCCTCAACAAACAAATATTTTGCATGAAACCATATGCGAATGAACCGGGGTAAAAACTTTAAAATGCGTGTGCGCGTGTGTATTGTCACAATCTTGCGGGCGTGGCGTGGGGTGGCCTACACGCTCGTGCCGATGCCCTGCGCGTGGTGGCCGAGCGTGCTGGGCACGCCCCCAGCCACGCCGTGCGCGTGCGGCATGACCTGCGACGCGGGCGGCAGCGGCGGCTCGCACTTCTCCGACATGACGGTCAGCACCTGGTCGAACTTGGCGTGCCGCTCCTCGGCGTCCACCGAGGCGCCGCGCGAGCCCCACAGGAACTTGAGGTGGAACTCGGTGCGGAACGCGTCCAGCAGCAGGTCGTCCACCTTGGAGTCGCTCAGCACGATCTCCGAGTTCCTCCGGAAGGTGGGCATCGAGTCGCCGAAGCGCCGCGCCGCCTCCAAGTGCGCCCACATGGTGCCCAGGCCGAAGTCCGACGTGGAGGACTCCCAGGGCGCGATGCACGCGTTGAGCGTGGACTGCGGCACCCCGCACGAGGACGCGCCTGCAACCAGGAAGCCGTCAGACGCGGTTCGAGACAACGCCCCGGAACGGGGAGAGAGTCCTGAGTCCTCACCTGAGACCATGGCCTCGGCCGGGCGCGCGTTGAGCAGCAGGAAGGGCAGCAGGTGCGGGATGGTGGTGTTGGGGGCCTGCGGGTTGGCGCACTCGTTCATGCTCTTGAGCGTGGGCCGCAGCTTGGCCTCGAAGTTGAAGGCGCTGTCCGTGAAGCGCTGCCGCAGCACGTGCCACGTCGCGGCCAGCCGCTGCAGCTGCGGCATGCACAGGCCCAGCATGATGCCGCAGAAGCCGAACAGGTTGCCCAGGGCGGTCTTGGTGTCCACGGCCACCTGGATCCACTTGTTGAGCAGCTCGGCGCGCTCCGTCTCCGTGGGGCACGTCAGGATGGTGACCGCCACCAGCAGCTTGAGGCACTCCGTCCTGGGGAAGGAAGAACACGGGGGTCAGTAGGTTGGCGAGGGATTAGGGTAGGTTTAGGTGACTTTGGCGCGGACCTACCTCTCCACCAGGTCCGTCCTGAGCTGCCGGCCGACGGGCAGGCAGCACAGCTCGATGCCGGACTTGATGCCCAGCCCCAGGCCCTGGTCCCAGGGCTGGCCGTTGGGCGCGGCGGTGGCCAGCGTCAGGTCCAGGTCGTCCCTGGTCAGGTGGTTGGCCAGGATGCGGGACCCGCTCTCCAGCAGCATCATCTTGATGCCCTGCAGCGCGGTGGCGTCCAGCGGCTTGTTCTCCAGCGAGGGCAGCAGCAGCGTCTGGAACGAGTCCGGGTCCAGCGCGCTGGGCAGGTCGGGCAGGTCGGCGGCCGCCACGCCGGGGCCGGACACGCCCTCGTCGCACGCCTTGAGCGTCGTGGAGGAGCACGACGACGGCAGGTAGATGATGACGCCGCGCTTGAGCGTGCCGCTGCCGCTGCCACCCGCGGCCGCGGCCGCCGCCGAGTCCGGGACGTCGCCGGCGGCGGAGCTCTGCGCGGACGAGTCCCGGAGCCGTTGCCGGAGTCCGACCCGGACGCGTGGTACGAGGCGATGGCGGCGCGCTGCAGCGCCGCGGCCGAGGCCAGCGATGAGCCGCTCTCGGACACCGGGGTCGTGTCGCCCAGGTCGCCGAGGTCCGCCACGTCGCCGTCGACGTCCTCCTCCGCGGCCGCTCCGGGTGGTGCGGGGGTGGAGCACGTCGCGGGCGGCACCCGGCTCGGCTTGGGGGGCGGGCTGTCGGACAGCGGCGTGGCGGGCACGGCGTTGGGGGCGTTGGCGGCGTCCCGGGGCGAGCACGCTACGCCCTCCAGGTCGCTGTTGACGCGCAGCATCTTGTTGTGGGCGGCGTGCACGGCGCCGTGGCCGTGCCGCGGCATGGTGGACGTGCCCTTGCACGTGGAGAGCTTGCCGTTGCTGCGCGGCAGCGAGTGCGTGGAGAACCTGCTGGGGGTGGTGCCGTTGGCGGTTCCGTTCGCAGCCCCGTTGGCGTGGACGACGTCAGCGCTGCCGCCGTGGTCCTCGGGCCGCGCGCGGTCCGCCAGGCTGAGGGTGAGCTTGGCGTGGCCGTTGAGCACCTCGCCGGGCGTGAGCGACAGGCTGCGCTGCTTGGACGGCAGGCGCGGCGGCGTCGCGTACGCCACCTCCACCGGCACGCCGTACGCGGCGGCGCGGCGCGACCGCGGCGGCGAGTGCACGGGCTGCGGAAGCACGAGTACGGCGACATCCTGGAGCCCGGCGTCAGCGGGGGGAGCGCGCTCAGCGGGGACGTCATCGGGGACATGCCGGCGGTGACGCCCGCGATGCTCTGCAAGGCGTACTTCTCCGCGTAGAAGGACAGCGGGTACAGGCGGTTGCGCGGGGTCTGGATGCGCGCGCCCGACGCCGCCGAGATGGGCTTGCCGCTGCCCACGTAGTAGGTGACCAGGTCCGGCACCGTGTCGTACGCGTCGGCCTCGAACTGGTACTGCACGCGCTCGTAGACCGTGTCGGGCTGCAGCACCACCTGCAACGAGAATCAACACCGTAAGCCACAGACGATTTCGACACATTTGTCACCATTTGTCGGCGTTTAGACCAACTTTGCTCACCTTGTTGATGACGAAGTGCAGGGAGGCGCCGTTGCTGCGGCAGGTGAGCACGAAGTTGCCGGGCTGCGAGGCGCAGTCCCGCACCAGGAAGTCGCCGTGCCGGTCCACGATCTCCTCGGCGCGGTGCCGCGGGATGGCGCCGTGGTACCAGGCGTGCGAGCGCAGGTCCTGCGAGTCCAGGGACAGCTCCCACTCCAGCAGGCGCCGCAGCGCCGTGGGGTCGCCGGCGGGCTCGTCCTGGAGGACAAGAAGAAGGCCGTTAGGGTCGCCGTCGGGGCCGTCACGGTGGCGGAAAGAGCGCCTGTCGCGGGCGAGATAGGCAACACCACCGACACGAGAGTGCGGTGGGCGGCCTACCTCTCACGGCGGCCACCCGACAGGCTCTCTATCTCTCTCGCACTGATGGGGCGTCCCACAAGGTGCGAGAGAGACAGAGCGATGGGGAGGACTCTCGGAGTTCGGGGCGGATCGCGTTTCATTGGCTCGCTGAATTGCTGCGTTCACCGCGCTGCTCGGCCTGGGGTGGCGGACGGGGTGTCGGACGGGGTGCAGGCGGAGGTCGCGGGGCGCGTTCATGACGATGGCCCATTAAATCGCCGTTCGCAGCGTCCGCGTCGGAGTGTGGGCTGCAGACTGCTGGGCCCGGCCCGGCCCAGCCTGGGGGAACGGCCGGCAAAAGAGCCGCGGGGCCCAGCCCTGCCCAGCTGGGTCGAGCTGGGTCGCTGAATCATCGCCTTGCACCAACTGTGCCGTAACACTGTTTACGGAACGGGCCCGGCCGAGTTTGCACGGAGAAGCGGTCGTAATGGACCGGGGAAGGGGTGGGAAGGGTCGGAAGGGTCGGAAGGGGTGGGAAAGGGGTCGGTGGGGGACAGCGACCCATAGGTGAACGGCCCGAAACGGTGAGGGGACGCTGAAAGGGTACAAAGTGCCCAGGCTAATTCGTTCCTCTTGTTGCCTATTTCTATGCCGAGCATTCGCAACCGCCAACCGCTCCCATCCGCCTATCAGGCCCACACAGGCACGGCAGTCCGCGGGACGTGCCACCCCCGCAACCGCACCCCAACCCCCCGGCCCGCGCAGCTACGCGCAGCCACCCAGAGGAAGCCGGCGTCAGGAGGGGGCGCCGTCCCGCGCGGCCCCGCGCAGTCCTGCCCCCCGCCGGATAGGCAGCCCGCCAGACAGAGCGCCGCCCACCCTCTCTCTCTCTCTCTCCCTCTCCCTGCTCTCCCCATCCCGGATCAATGCCCGGACCCCGGACCACACCCCCTCAAAGTCCCGGCACGGTCCCGGCACCGTCCCGGCAGGGGGGTGACTGACCCCTCTCTCCCTTTGTGGCGGGGTGCTGCCGCCAGCCTCGCAGCATCACCGGTACCGGCGCACCGGCGCGCCGGCACCCGCACGCCTTCCACCACACCCGCCCGAAACTTCCCCGTCGCTGAAGGGCAGACCGTTCCAGGTTCCAAGTTCCAGGGGCTCTAACGGGCGACATGTCTCGTGTCTCTGCAGTTTAACTTTCCCGGCAGGACACTTTGCGCGAATCCCCTACGAGACGTTTCATAAAGCCTCGCGTCAGGTCGTCGGCGACGCTGTCACCCCCAAGCCCGAGGCCCAGCCCGAGGCCGTGTCAAACGCCGCCGCCCTCCACCCCCAGCCCGACACGGAGGCCCCGTCCCCGAGGGCGCCAGGCAGGCCCAGGTGAGGGGCAGCTAATCATGTTGTTCCTCCGCAAAATGAGCGCCGGGCTCGGGGCGGAGCTGCAGGCCGCTTGCGAACAGCGCTTCCGCCGTCGCTCTGTCTCTCTCACTCTCACGGGGCGGCGTGGAGGGTGCGAGAGGGAGGGAGGGAGGGCTCACCGTGAAGCAGCCCGTGATCCTCCTCCTCGTGCTGCAGGCCGGCTAATCACAGAGCCACCGCCCTGCATGGCCGATAAGGGCGGCTAGGTGGCCGACAATGGTAGGGCGGCGGGGCCTACATGTTGAGCCCCCGCGCGGCGCGGTGCGGGGCGGTGCCTCCAAGGCTTGCTGCAAGGGCCGAGGGGAGCCATGAATGGCGGATAGGGGAGGACGGCCTGGACGGGGTAACGTCGCCACTCAGTGCCGGCACACTGTCTCGAGGACGGCCCGGGGGTTTAGTTTCGAGCTTTCATTGTACAGTGCAGGCGGCCAAAGTCTCGTGTTCGCGTTGGTGTCGCGGGGCGTCGCCTAACCGCAGACGCGGCAAGGCGCCCCGAAGTGGGGAGGATTGTCGTGTCACGGACGAGGCAGCGCCATGAATAAGTAAACGGAAAGCAGGGCGAAACAGGGCCCCGCCGGGATTCGAACCCGCGGCCCGGCGCGCGGCCCGCTTGACAGGGTACATCCGCACCGCCGCACCGCGACGCGGGCCCCAGCTGTGCGCACTGCCTGCTGGATCGACGCTTTGTCGCGAGAGACAGGCTCTGTGCGCCGACGCCCCGTGAGTGCGAGAGAGACGGAGAGACAGATTTTGAATGACGGGCTCGCGGAAAAGAAACGGCAGAGATATGCAAAAGGGGAGTCGTCGAGGATCCGAGCCGCCGAGGGGGAGCGGGGCGCCGAGCACACGATGAAGGGCCACAAAGCCTCTCAAAGTCTCTCCGGCGAGCTCCCCGCTGTCCGGCTCGGCTCGGCACGGCCCGGCACGGCCCGGCACGGCCCGGGGGTGCGATCCGAGGACCGCGACGACGCCACTACGCAGACTCACCATCGTGATGTTACATAGGCTCTTGCTCTGGGTGACGTTGCTGGCCACCAGGATGTCCGCACTGCAACACGAAACAAAACCGGGTTTAGAATATGAATCCGCGGCAAAAGCATACAGTGTCGTGGAGCGGATGAGCTGAGGCCCTCACGTAGTACTACTCGGATGCGGGCAGCGGCATCGTAGAATAGGCCTCCCTGCCCAGTCCAACATATTAAAACTGAGCAAGCTGACCACCCGCTGGAGAGGGGACTCACAAATTAAACACGCACACTCTCTCATACACACACACACACACACACACACACTTGCGCACACGCACTGCCACATCACACAATGCCGGACTCAAGTAGCATCAGGCTTTGCCTTGACGGTTTAATAATTACCCCGGCTGCCTGTTGCCCCCTCGTGGACCATCTTTTCCCTCTCTGCAGCTCTACAGCCAGGCTGGCAGGCAGGCAGGCAGGCAGCCAGCCAGCCAGCTCGCCTGTCGATAGGCATCGAACGTGATTCACTGACTCGGGATTACTTATTGGATAAAGCACTTCTTGGGACGATCGCCGTCTGTCTGTCCGTCCGTCCGTCTGTCTGTCCGTCCGTCTGTCCGTCCGTCCGAACAATAACGGCGAAAGGCGGGGATAAGGTGACAAGGGCGATCCACTCAAATCCTTGTAGGGAAATGTAACAAACGACGCCAGACAAGCCGGCCGGGCAAGTCGGCAGCACCACCGCGGCACAACGAGCGCAGTATAAAATGTCACTGGTGCGCGCCGAGCCGCGAGACGCATTATTTGTACACACACGCACACACGATTCTCCCACACACGGCCATTCGCACTCACACTCACAGACACCTCTAATTTTCACGAGTACCGGATATTTATTTTCAGGTGAGCAAGAACAACAACCACGATGAGCTGGGTCCCACAACTAGAGCCTAGGTGCGAGCGCGGCGCCCAACGTATTTTTAGAAGGAGCCAAAAGTGCGTGCATGCCGCAGCGTGGGCAGAGCCCCACAGCCAAACAAACGAAGGGACTGCAAACGTCCAATTTTAGTTATACTTCTGTAAATCTTTCCCAGACGTGGCGGCGCCGTGCTCGAATTGTTCCGCGTGCAAAGATATCGCCAATCTCCGATGTTTTGCTCCACTTTCACGTCGTCACGTTTGTCTGCGACATGACAGGGCGCACACACACACAGAATCACTCACACACACACACACAGAGGCGGCTCCTCGCGCCAAACACGCCCACACCGCGCACTCCCGCGCGCGACCCCCCCCCCCCCCCCCCGTTTGCTCCGCCTTGCTCAACCGGCACCTCTTGGTCGTTTATTGTTTTCAATTTGGGAGACACTTTTGCGTCGAGTCCGTATATTACTCCCCCTCCCCCCACCCCACCTGCCGCAGCGCGTGAGCGTACGTGAGTCTCTGCAACTGTGTCTGTGTGTGAGTGTGTGCGTGTGTCGTCCCGACCACGCGACCTGACTAAGGGGCTGAAGAAAAAAAACAACAAAAAAACCGCAAACCTATAACGCGGCCATACAATCGCCATTTTTTGAATCATTACTTTTTTCCCGATTCATTTGCATTTTTGTTTTGTTTTTATATTGCAGCTGGGACGATTCAATGATATTCCTGTTGAAACTCCCTCTTCTAATTGCGTCCCCCGCGATGCGGCCGAGCGTGGCGGGGAGGGGGAGGGGGAGGGGGGCGGCGTGCGGGCGGGACCGCTGCCCCGATCGCCTCGATTTACGATATGACGCTGTCTCCGTCTCTCTCGCACCCCCGCGACACGCCGCATCAGTGCAAGAGAGACAGTCGCAAAAATTTGTGTGCGAAATTAAGCATTACAGAGGTCCAAAATGGCGTCACAGATCGTCGAAAAAGCATCACAGAGGTTCAAAATGGCGTGTCCGACAGCTGAAGGCGGCGGCGGCGGCGGGAACGACCAGAGCGACGCAACGTGGACTGCGGTCTCCCGGTCTCCCGGTTTGTCTGCTCCAGAGGCCCCAGAGGCTGCTGGCCGGGGGGGGGGAGGGGAGGGGGAGGCCGGGCGCGGGGGAGACACATCGCATACCTCCGCGGCACGTCCGGGACAGCGCAGCCAGCGGCCAGCGCGGCCAACCGGCCGAGAGCCGTGCGCCAAGACGAGGTTCGCAACCCGCCGCCACGGCGAAGTTTGAAACACGCGGCGCCATCCGATGATTTTGGCTGCTCTCTGCCTCTCTCGCACTCGTGGGGCGTCCCGGAGGGGTGCGAGAGAGACGGAGCGATACTCCGCCGTGCGGAATATCGCCGTGCGAACGACGACACGCTCCATTTGTCGCGGCGAGCAGACCGCGGCGAAGAGCGGCCGCTGGGTTCCCACGCCACTGCCTCCAGCGGGGAAGGGGGCGGAGAGAGCGAGCGAGGGCGAGAGAGGAAGACAGAAAGAGAGAGGAGAGAGGGGCAGCGAGTGACCCTCCGCGAAGCCTTTTGTTCCCGGTGCGTGCACTGTCATTGCGGTCGTAATCACAATGATCGGCTGCATGCGGACGAAACGGCCCGACAACGGCACTGCCAATAGTGACCGCGCCACTGTGACTCTAACTGCGGATAATGAAACGGGCAGCGCGAATCATTTAATTCGCCTTTTTATTTCCGCCGCGTTGAGCAACGCCACATCCGGCAGGCGACGCGGCGCGAGCACACAATGGCCATTACATTGCATTACATCCTGCGTCTCTCTCTGTCGCGGTCTGATCCCTTCTTAATCGCGAGCTTTAGGGAGGGCGTCGCAGCGGAGGTTGGACCGCGGGCCGGAACTGGCCGCTCGGAACGGGTAGGACTACGAGGAAAGAGAGAGAGGGAGAGAGCGAGGCTTTATGGTATTTTTAGTCAGTCCTTGAACCACATGCTGCAACGGCGGGGCGGAGCGCGGCGCGGCGGGGCGGCCTGGAATGTAAAACACCCTCGCCTCGCGCCCGGCTGCCTGCCCGGCCTGCCCGGCCTGCCCGCGGCCCGCCGCGCCGACCCTCCGACACAGCATTTGTCACATTCGGGCCGGCCGTTTAACCGCCTTATCCAGCGGGCCCTATGCTGGCTGCTCGAGAGTGATTAGGCGGGGAAGGGGGCCCGGCAGGGCCCAGCGGGGCGCCCGCCTCAACGCCCTTCGTGCGGCACCCTGCAGCTGTCTCTCTCGCACTCGCGGGGCGCGCCGCCGCGGTGCGAGAGAGACAGAGCTGGTGCACCGGGCGGGGCCCCGAACGGGGTGACCTTTATCGGGCCGCGGCTGTTGGACGCCGTCGGAGGTGAAAAAGGCCGTATCGCACTACATGCAGGCCAGGGGGAGGGGGAGCTAGGGGGCACGGGGGCGCCGCACGTCCAGGGAGAGAACTTTGAAATGGAACACGCGTTTCGGGGCCATATCCCGGATATCTCGCCGGGAGAGGCGAGGCGCCGCCCCGCCCCGCCCCGCCCCGCCCCGCCCCGCCCCGCCCGCCCCGCCAGGGCGGCAAACGTGACAAACATCAGGAAGAGGCGGCCGATCTGGTGGCGGTGGTACACTGGTACGCGAAAAGGGTTGCGGCCGGACCATGTCCGAACACGTCGGACGCACACTGAATGATGATTCATCCTGAATGACATGGCAGCGTCACTCTAACGCGCGTCCAAAAATCATCTTACGGCAACGCAGACAGTCCAGCAGGCGGTGGGTGGACGAAAACTCGAGTCTCGTCTGAAAGACAAGACTTTTCCCAGTGTCTAGGTCTGCAGCGGTGTCGCGTGGCGCTGCGACACCCAGGAGTCGCTTCGTCGCTCTGTCTCTTGGGCCGCCCCGTGAGTGCGACAGAGACAGAGCGACGAATCCGCTGGCTGCTGAGGCTGCACGGCACTGCACTGCAGAAGAAGCAGCCGCACGCACTTCTTGTCCTCATGCCGCTCATGCCGGGGCCGTGCGTCACCGGGAAGCCGGCGGGCTGCTTCCGGACTGTCGCTCTGTCTCTCTCGCACCCTTACGGAACGAGCCATGCGAGCGAGAGAGACAGAGCGACGTTGGGAACCATCCCCGCACGGAAAGCCACCCCCGACCAGCCGCGCCGCGCGTCGCCGCGTCGCGCGTTCCGGGTTGTTATAGCGGCAGTTCGTGGGGCACTAACGACCGCCAGCCTGCCGCCCACACTGTAGTGCATGCCCTTCCAGACGTCCCCGATGACCCTCCGAAGGGACACGCCCAAGGCCGCGCCTCGGCCGCGCCGACCCCGGTAGCAGAGGCCGTACCCGACCCGACCCAGCGGGCCGACGATGGCTTTTAAACTAGCCGTATCTAGTTGATGGCCGCGGCTGCCCTTCCTGGACGCGCTGTCTCTCTCGCACCTCCACGAACAGACCCCACGCGGCCTTGCTGCCGAACGCTGGCCAGGGACAATGGTGACAGGGCCCCGCGGGCAGTACACTGTACGCTGGGGGCGGGTTGAGGTGAGGGTTGCGTGCCCGGCCTCGCTGCCTCGCTGGCGTGTTCCCCGAACCACAAGGTGAAGACGGACGTCTCGGGGCGCGCGGCGTGCAGGCGGCGAGTCCCGCGAGTCCCCCACCCCCGGGGCCCGGGGCCTTCCACCCCGTGTCCTAGGTTTGGGCTCAGCCAACGCGCGGAGCGGTGGGGTGGCCGGCAGGCCGATTCCGAAGAATCGTCGCTCTGTCTCGCACTCGCGGGGCGCCCCGCAGCGGTGCGAGGGAGACAAATCGACTCTCATCGGCGTCGCTCGGCGAGCCGCGCCGCCGCGCCCTGCGTGTGTCACGACACTTGTGTGTGGTCGGGCCTGCCAGTCGGGCAGTCGGGTATCGCTCCTTCCCTCGCATGCACCACGGCCTGGAGGTGCGAGAGAGACAGAGCGACGAAAGCGCCGGCCATCCGCGACCCTGGTGGTAACTAGAGTCAGTGCTCGGACTGGGGCTGAGATGAGCCCCACCGCGGTGTTTGGAGTGTATGCCGAGAGCCCCGGCCGCGGCGGTGGACGAGAACGTGGACGCCGACCAGACGGCGATGACAGGAAAAGTTTGGTCGGGGCGCCCCGAGTTTTGT